AATACAGTCATACAGACATACAGTCATACAGACATACAGACACACACACACAGACACACAGACATACCGACATACAGACATACAACCTACATACCTACATACCCACATACCTACATACCTACATACCTACACGCGTACATACAGACATACAGACACACAGGGACGAGAGAGGCAGACAGACAAACGGACAGACATGCAGCCAGACAAACAGACAGACAGACAGAGAGACGGAAGCTGACAGAGAGGCAGATACACAGACAGCAAAACGAACAGGCAAACGACAAAAGGACATATACATTATACAGAGAAATAAGTAGCCAGACACAGATAGAAATGGCAGACCGACGCGGTGGTGGAGGACCAGGTAAACCGGTCAATTGCTTTCTTCGAGTGACCCCCACCCTGAAACACTATTCTTCTGACATAGTTTCTGACAGAGTTTCTGACATACCATCTGGAAGTATATATGGCACTGGCACTGGGCAAATTTATTCTGATCATTATTCTATTTGACATTCTTTCCGGCATATACTTTGACATTCTATCTGACATTCTATCTGGCATCTATTCTGACATACTTTCTGGCATGTATTCTGACATTCTATCTGGCATTTTTTCAGGCATTCAGTCTGGCATCTATTCTGACATTCTTTCTGGCATCTATTCTGACATTCTCTCTGACATTCTTTCTGGCATTCTATCTGGCATTCTCTCTGTCGTCTGGCTGAGGTCCGGCAGTGCCCACTGAGATCTGGCGCCCGCGGTTGAGGTCTGGCCGTGCCCACTGAGATCTGGCGCCCGTTGAGGTCCGGCAGCTGAGATCTGGAGCTTGCGGTTGAGGTCCGGCAGTGCCCACTGAGATCTGGAGCTTGCGGTTGTGCCCACTGAGATCCGGAGCTTGCAGTTGAGACCCGAGGCTGACGGAGGAGAAGGAGAAAAAGGAGGAGGAGAAGGAGAAAGGAATTCTGATAAAAACTAGAGACCCTTGGGTGGAAATACAATGAAACACACAGACGGACGTGCTGATGGAGGACCAACAGACAAAAAGGGCCGGAAACAGGGACTGGAACGACAAAGGGCCGGAAACAAGGACCAGGACGGCAAAGGACCGGAAACAGGGACTGGAAAACACAAGGACCGGAACGGACCGGAACAGGGACCGCAACAGTTCCCAAAAGCAAAAGCCCGGAAAGGACCGGAATCTCATTCTGGGCCGCGGCCCGGAAGACCGAAACAGGACCAGAACAGAGACCCGACAGGGACCGGAAAAGGACCGGAACAATTGTATTTTCTGTACTGTGGTCTGAGGCTTGGGCTGGCACAGGCCCATATGCTGGACCGATGGGATAGTGCACGCTCCCACAGGCCCAGGCCGATTTTTGCTGAAACCGGCTTGGTCACCACGCTGAGCTGCAAGCTCCCAAAACATGTGCAAAATGGATGGGGAAGATCTGCCACGCTTGCGAGATGGTCCCGGGCGTGCTTGGATCATGCTCGGATCGGTCCCGCGGTGGAACTGACAGCGCAAGCGGTAGCTGTTTTTGAGGGGCAACGATTTTTTTTGTCACGTTTTCTGGGTTTTGGTGCCAGTCAGGTCATTTTCTGGTTTTCTCAAATAGTTTCAAAACCATACCATACCTTTTTCAGCTTTGGCGATGAGAGCCGGATTTGAAGCTGATTTTGGACCTTCCAGCTGGACTGAGCACGCGTCGCAAATGGGATACTTCTGTTCTAAAGTAGTCTCAAGCCGGTACAAACCCATGAATATTGCGAAAAACGGAAAATACAAAAAAAACAAGCAAATGCAAAAAAAGGTAAACACAGAAAAACACGAGTAGAAAAATGGTGCAAAAATGGGTCAAGCAAAAACACATCGAAACAAACATGTGTAGAACATGGATTTTCAGAAACTAGCTTGAAATACAATGGTTGCAAAATGGGTTTTCGAAACAGAAACGGTGATGAAACAGCACGATGTAACGACTATGGCTTTGAGCGGTGGAGCGGCTCCTCTGAAACCTCAGAATTGGCAACCTCACTTTTACCTTGTGAACCGTGTGCTACCATGATGAAGTGCCTGCATACAGTGAGTGTGTTTCCGCGTCTTGCAGTGCCTGTGATCAATGTAGTTTTTGTTTTGATGTTCCTTGTTTGATGTTCCCTTTTAGATCCTTTTAGTTCGTTTACTTTCTGCATTTTTTCTCAATTTTTCTGGCGTTTCTAAAATTTGGACCCATTTTTTCTTTTCCAATTATTTTTAACCATTTTTTTACCGGCTTATTAAGTCATTGATTTGCAGAAATTGTCTTGGTGTCAGGATCATGATGCAAACTTTTTAGAGCATCCAACCTCCACAAATTCGATACAAATCAAATTAAAAGTAGATTATATAGATATGATTAAATTAGTATAGGTCAAATATATATATATATGTATGTATATATATATGTAAATATATATATATATATGTATGTATATATATATATATATATGTAAATATATATATATGTATGTATATATATATATGTAAATAAATAAATATATATATATATATATTTATCTGGACAATTTAAAACGACGTCACAGACGTCACCCCGAAATAACGACCTAGCCTCAGAAATAAGCTCATCGCAATTACAAGATCCTAGTTTTTCAAACTAGGAAACTGGAATTTTCAGCGCGTTCAGAAGCAAGTTCCCTTATTTTCTAGCTTTTCTATGGGCAGCTACCGCTGGAAAAATCGGTCTAAAGCGGCAAAGCTTGGGCAGCCAAAAAGTGCCTAGTTTTTCAAACTAGGAAACTGAGGTTTTCAGCGTGTTCAGAAGCAAATTCCCTTATTTTCTAGCTCTTCTATGGGCAGCTGCGGCGGGAAAAATCAGTCTAAAGCGGCAAAGCTTAGGCAGCCAGAAAGATCCTAGTTTTAATCAAACTAGAAAATAGAGCTTTCAGCGTGTTCAGAAGCAAGTTCCCTTATTTTCCAGCTAATCGGTCTAGAGTCTAAAGCGGCAAAGCTTGGGCAGCCAGAAAGATCCTAGTTTTTTAAACTAGGAAACTGAGGGTTTTCAGCGTGTTCAAGCAAGGTCCTTTATTTTCCACCTTTTCTATGGGCAGCTACGGTTGGAAAAATCGGTCTAAAGGGGCAAAGCTTGGGCAGCCAGAAAGACACTAGTTTTTAAACTAGGAAACTGAAGGTTTTCACCGTGTTCAGAAGCAAGTTCCCTCACTTTCCAGCTAAGATCCTAGTTTTTCAAACTAGGACACTGAGGTTTTCAGCGTGTTCAGAAGCAAGGTCCCTTATTTTCTAGCTTTTCTATGGGCAGCTACGGCTGGAAAAATCGGTCTAAAGCGGCAAAGCTTGGGCAGCCAAAAAGTGCCTAGTTTTTCAAACTAGGAAACTGAGGTTTTCAGCGTGTTCAGAAGCAAATTCCCTTATTTTCTAGCTCTTCTATGGGCACCTGCGGCGGGAAAAATCGGTCTAAAGCGGCAAAGCTTAGGCAGCCAGAAAGATCCTAGTTTTAATTTTAATCAAACTAGGAAATTGAGGCTTTCAGCGTGTTCAGAAGCAAGTTCCCTTATTTTCCAACTAATCGGTCTAGAGTCTAAAGCGGCAAAGCTTGGGCAGCCAGAAAGATCCTAGTTTTTAAAACTAGGAAACTGAGGTTTTCAGCGTGTTCACAAGCTCCTTTATTTTCCACCTTTTCTATGCACAGCTACGGTTGAAAAAATCGGTCTAAAGGGGCAAAGCTTGGGCAGCCAGAAAGACACTAGTTTTTAAACTAGGAAACTGAGGTTTTCACCGTGTTCAGAAGCAAGTTCCCTCACTTTCCAGCTTTTCTATGGGCGGCTACGGTTGGAAATATCGGTCTAAAGCGGCAAAGCTTTGGCAGCCAGAAAGATCCTAGTTTTAATCAAACTAGGAAACTGAGGTTTTCAGCGTGTTCAGAAGCAAGTTCCCTGACTTTCCACCTTTTCTATGGGCAGCTACGGCTGTAAAAATCTACTTCAGGTACCGGTCTGAAACGGCAAAGCTTCAACAGCCGCAGACATGATAGTTTATCAAACTAGGATATTTTTTTTTAAGGTTTGGGAGTTGTTGCTTGATGAATACTCGGTTTGGGAGCTTCAAAGTAAAGGAAACATGTCAAACAGGCTGTGCGAGCGTATTTGTGGGCACGGGGGGCGGTTCCGGACCTGGGCGGGCGCGAGCCCTGTGTGTTTAAAGCCTCCCGGCGCCAAAGCTGGACCCGGAACGGGCACGCGGGGAGGTGTCCCGCCAAAGTTGGAGGAGTGGCAGGATGAACATGCTTGCGCCCTTGCTTGACAGGTCGGAGGCAGCACTTGTCCTTTGTTCGGTGGGCACAGAAGGCATGATCCAACGACCTTTGTGCAGTTATGGGGTTTTCGGTTTCTTCTTGCTCAGCAGCGCGCGCAGGCGAATCTTGATGAAGTCGTGGACAACATCTTGGACTTTCATGGGCATGACTGATGTGCCTTTTCAATGGCCGTGAGCCCCAAAAAAGGCAAGGGATGGATCACTTGAAGGGTCAAAGGCGCTCAGGTGACATGCAGAACATAAGTGCTGCAGAGTTTGGCGGAAAATAGCAATAAATAGCAGGCTTGTGGGCGGCCTTTGGGGTTGGGGGCATGCGAGCTAGATATTGTCACCTATACATTACTTCTTTGACGCACGCGAGGTTTTGGAACTGTTACTGCAGCAGTGAATACCCCTACATCGCACCCAGCATGAACGTTCTTGCGGCATGGACGGTTGGAGTCCTTGGAACTGCATTCCTGGCATGAGTAGGCATTGAGTGTTGGGAGCCAGACCAACTTGTGTTTTGCATCGCTGCAGCTCCTATTGAAAACCCAAACCGCTGGGATCAACTATTCTCGAGCGTTGGTGCCTACAGGCCCAGGACCAAAGGGTTTTCGTCGTCGTTTCGATTTCCGCCTCATTTGGTTCTTATCACAAAGCTTTCTTCCCTGCCCTGCGCCAGTTGCAGGATTTGCACTACGATGGGAAAGAGGCAGCTAGTGGCACCGTCAGTCCCTTAGCTGGCACTCTTGGTTCTGTTTTGCGGTTTGCCACTATATCTCTACACTTCTACTGCGCCAGGTCATCTTTGCCATTGACGCCGCTGCTGCCGGGCCGAAGCTGCCCGCACTGCGGAGAATCAGTTAGGGCCTTTTCAAAACCTTACCAATCCTTCAGCCCACCATTGCCTTGCGCGTTGTCGTGGCCCAGGTTTTCGCACGCTTCTCATTACTTGGCGATGAATGTTTTGCCAAGAGGCAGAGGCCCCATGCTTGCTTGGCCTGATGGAACAGGTGCTTTTGTACTTTCTTATACCCTTCTTCCCCACTGCCAGGACGTCGTTGGCATTGGTGCCATGGCGGGGATTTGTCAGCTTGGGCGGTTTTTGGGTAAGGCGGTCAGCTCGATCAGAAACAAGCAGTTTTTTAGACTTAGGAAGGCCAAGTCGCTCTTGCATATTCCATGTTTTTCAAACTAGGAAACTGAGGTTTTCAGCGTGTTCAGAAGCAAATTCCCTTATTTTCTAACTCTTCTATGGGCAGCTATACGGCTGGAAAAATCGGTCTAAAGCGGCAAAGCTTGGGCAGCCAGAAAGATCCTAGTTTTAATCAAACTAGGAAATAGAGCTTTCAGCGTGTTCAGAAGCAAGTTCCCTTATTTTCTAGCTTTTCTACGGGCAGCTACGGCTGGAAAAATCAGTCTAAAGCGGCAAAGCTTGGGCAGCCAAAAAGTTCCTAGTTTTTCAAACTAGGAAACTGAGGTTTTCAGCGTGTTCAGAAGCAAGTTCCCTTACTTTCCAGCTTTTCTATGGGCAGCTACGGCTGGAAAAATTCAGTTCAGGTACCGGTCTAAAAGGGCAAAACTTAAACAGCCGAAAAAAAACCTAGTTTGTTGTTTTAGGCCGACGTAAAATATTTTATTAATTTTAGAGACGACGTGAATATTTCAGATGCAAAATTATTCGAAAAAGCGACAACCTGCGAAATATAATAAAGTGTACAGATAGATAGATAGATAGATAGAAAGATAGATAGATAGATAGAAAGATAGATAGATAGATACAAAGATAGATAGATAGATAGAAAGATAGATAAATAGATAGATAGATAGACAGACAGACAGATAGATAGATAGATAGATATTAATATAACATATATTTCTTGGATATTAATTGTTGTGTCGCAGATCTCAGTTTAGGTTTTGTCAGATAGATAGATGGATAGCCTCTTGGCGGGTAGAAGGTAGGTAGATGATATATACCATGAATTCCGCAGTGCAGTGGGTTCAATCCCGGTGCTAATGAGAAAATCGTGATGAACCCTCCCATGATATATCCCATTGCATGTCATTTTTTTGCCATACGTCATCTCCAAATCGGTAACGATATCCCATCATATCCGAAAAATTTGGTGCAATCCCCACATTTTTCAGACAAAAAATTGCACACATACTGGGTAGTTCCATGTATTTTCCCAAGATTTCATGGTGTTCACATCATTTTCAAAACAACGCGGGAACACATCGTCATTTTCCGCGAAGTTCCCCATGTTAGCCCATGGATCCACCAAGGCCGCTTCTGTGGACCCTCGCAGCGTAGAGGAGCTCACGGTGAACGCCGTGTCCTCCAGCGATGTGCTGAGAGCAGGACAGTACAGTTTTCGCATCAGCATAGGCAATGGCTGGGCTGGGATGGGTTGACTTCTGCCCCTGATTCACTGGCACTATGTGGCTGTTGTATAGAAAGGAAACTATCCAGATCTTCGAGCTATCACTTTGAGAACTGAAGACCAGTGAGGGTGGGGCATGTCCTTCAAACAATCTCAGACATCTGGGCACCCCGCCAGAAACAAACAACTTGTCACAAAAGCAACTGTTTTCTCCATCGTCTTGACAAAGTCCGCCACAGTCTGATGCGATTGAGATAGAAGAACAGCAACTGCATGCTGCTACCTACACATCTCCAAGCAGATGAGGGATCCAATGCATCCCGACCTTGGCAGGCTGGAGTCTGGGACGGGACATGTCTACGCAAGCTCACTCCATGTTGGGTGTAGCCGTGGAACGTTGGGGTGTCCTAACGGTGGGTGGGCCGAAAGGGAGACATATTTGTTCATTTTTTGGTGTAGCACACAAAACATGCAAGACTTTGGGCAATTCTGAAGTCACAAACATGTTCATTGCACCACGATAATCTTTTGGATAACATGTGCGATCAAATGGATTTTTGAGTTTTCATGAGTGCATTCCAAAAGTTCAACCATCTTCATTCAATCTCTACTTTTAGAAACATCCAAATTCCAACTAACTCCAGATCACCACACTTCTGATCTGCGGCCAGTCACTGAGGTGTAGATCGGGGGGTGGACATTGCGTGGAACTTAGTCGGTTGCAGCAGGCCCTTCGTAGTGCTTCAACCTACCAAGACCCGACAGAAATCCTGATTTAGCAATGTGATAGACCCAATAAGCATCAATGTACCATAGCGAATTCTACTTCTACCATGGTTGGCATAAGACATTACCGATAGGCACTGATAGGTGTTTCTTGTGTTTTTGCTGCTTTGCCACGTTACTGGATCTGTTTATTATGGTTGGGGGATGGGATTGCAGATTCCCACTATTCAGACCGGAGAGTCCAAGGTGAGATTTTGGGAGTCTTCCATGTCCTTTCAATGATTTTGCCGAACTTGAGCTAAGCAGCTACTTAGCTACTTCTTGGGTATTCAACCACCGCTCCATCTCCATCCCCGGGAAAACAGACACAAACACAAGCCATCAGCCACCCTATGAGTCTTGTTGTTGAGGTAGCAGTCAGCTTTGAGCTCAAATTGGTGAACCAAAAGTAGGGTGCCCCTGATGGACAGACAGTCGGCAGAAGTCCATTAGCCCAAAGATGCGGAAGCTACACATCCAGGGCCAGCGGTTAGATTGGCAGGGGTGGAGGACATCACATTACAGCCAATGTGTAACCTAAACCCTAAACAGTATTCTAAACCTTATCGAAGAGTCGAAAAAAACATGTCATCCAAAATATTCCAGACTAATCCAAAAGTCATATTAAAGTCACCCACCATGATCATCATTTGATGAAAACCATCCCTGCTTGGAATCCTCTTCCAGTAGCCTACCCCCCGTCGCCGACGAGGTTCCCAGAGAAGAGTGTGGTGATGTCAACAGAGGCTCCATTGGGCATCACCGAACGAGGTGCGAGCTGCCCGGCACCGGGGATCTACACACCTTAAAAACCATGGGATGTTTAACGGGTTTTTTTCCCGACCCGGGGATGGATTCCCAGTTTGTTGATTTTGTTGCAAGATGTTCGTCATGGCTTGGCTCCCAGTGATCTCCAATGGACTGAATATGAGTGGAGCCAGTATGGCCGGGCTGACTTTTTCAGACGGCATCTAAATTCTCATTCATTTGTTTGAACCAAAAGGGTTCAATATCCCATGTACCCTTTGGTAATCAAACTTGGCAACGGAATATCCACCATTTTGATCCATTTTGTTCGAACATTTTCCCAACATGTTCATTATCATTCCAGCTGTGAGGACACCGGATGGTATACCAATTGCCAGTGACTAGTGGAAGCCAGGTACTTTTTTGGATCGTTGGTCCAAGGATCATCCACTTCCATCCGCAGGTCTGAAGGGTTGGTTCCCTGCACCTTATGCGGATCGGCGAGCATCTTGGCCTAAAAACGGATCCAATGGTCATGGCGTTTTTCAGTTGAGATACCCTCTGATCCCTCTGGTTGAGATAGCTTAAGTTGGCCGGGAAATCCACATTTTTGACGAAAATTCCCGTAATTATAGACAATTATAGGGCAATTATCGACATTTTTCATGGATGTTCCATTGCTGGTCGCAGAAGGTGCCTGTTTGTAGTGTCTCCATCTCCAACGTTGGCAGGACCAGTAGCAGTTTTGTTCAACAAAAGAAAGCAGAAACCAACATGAATTCTACATCTATATGATCCCATCTGCAATGGTCAAATCACGGTTTCTTTTCCCACAAAAGGGATTGTTATCCCGGTATCTCCCTTCATTGCGGTGAATGTAATTACATGTTGCCAAGTATAAAGGAAACATTAGTGATGGTGGGATAACCATAAACCATTATAATATATTAGGATTAATATAATTCCATGCAACTTGACCATACCTCATATGATCTCATATCTCTGTAGATCATCAGAACTCCATCTCCCAAGCCCTGAGGAAAGCGCGGATGGCTTTGTGCTGTTGAAAGAGGTCTTAGATCCTGCGAAGGGCTGGTTGGAGAACGACTCGCTGGTGGTAGAGCTGGGGGTCCCCAGTGTGGGTTGCAGAACTGGACGGATATCCAACAAATGGGGGTTTATTAAAATGGAGGATCCCCAAAACCATGGGTTTCAATTGTTTCAATATTGAAAATGATCTAAGATTGGAGAATTTGGGGGTACCAGTTTGGGAAACCTCCAAATGGTAACAAAACACGTCGCCAGAACCGGCCAGAATCGGTTTGACCCGCGATGGCCATTGAGGTGCACCATGACGGTGGGCGTGCGCGAAGCTCAGGAAACGAGGGCAGGCGAGGGCAGCCATCCACTGGTTTATGGCACTCATTGCAGCGGGAAAACATAGAAAAACCATGGAAACCCTCCCAGGCTTCTCAGGGTTTGGGAATGTTTGGGATTCTGTTCTGGTACACATTTTTTCGAACGACTGCAGAATGGGCTTACCCTTTAAGGTAATTTAACCATTCGTTTCCAATCGCTATATTTGTTAGCAACATGGGTTTGCCACTTTGGGAATGATTGCAGTCATATCCCAGATCTGGGTTTGAGATTTAACATGATTTAACCGCAATATCCCAAATGGTTGATCCGCATGTTCACCCTGAAAAAGCTCAGGCGCTTAAAACATTTTAAGATACATAACATAACTTAGTGATACGTAATGTTGGATCTCAACTTCTTTAAAACAGAACCTTCAGTATGTCACCATGAATCGGTGCCATCCTATGAATCGGTGTCCAGCAATATCCAGCATCATTTTTTTGGAGGATTCCCCCAGGTTCGGAAACACCAACTTATTATATAGATATGTATCGTTAGTATTCGTTAGTTATGCATCCCATGACTATCCACTAGTTGTAATCACCCTTTTTTTTTTTAATCATATCACACTATTATATGTACCTAATTGATGGCTAGGTTATAATCCATTGTATCTAGATGTATCTCGTATATCCGTATATCCCAATTATGTACCGATTATGTCATTTATATCCATCTGGGCATACCTTAATATGCATTTATTTGCATTAATATGCATTATATTATATACATATACAGATACATATTTATGTTTTATATATATATATATCATATCCAATAATGTCCAGTATATCACCATTATATCCCTGCATGAAAAACCTCCATAAAAGGCATCCGGGTTTCCGGATCGTTTCCTGACCTGGCCCAGGTCACAACCACATTCCCTGGATCGGAAGGGTCCACCACCCACTACGGCCTTGGAGGAGACAACTCGCCGGTCGCCAGACGTGATAAAAAGGGGGCGCTCCGCCAAAATCATTTTATTTTGGGGCAGTAAACGGTAGTAATCATGTATATATACATGTATCTCTCTATCTCTCTATCTCTATCTATCTAATCTAATCTTATCTAATCTAATCTTATCTAATCTATTCTAATCTTATCTAATCTAATCTAATCTTATCTAATCTAATCTTATCTAATCTAATCTTATCTAATCTATCTATCTAATCTATCTATCTATCTAATCTATCTATCTATCTATCTAATCTTATCTTATCTTAATCTAATCTAATCTAATCTAACCTAACCTAAATCTAATCTAATCTAATCTATTCTATCTATCCATCTGTCTATCTATCTATCTATCTATCTTTCTTTCTTTCTTTCTTTCTATTAATACACATATATATATATTTATGATATTTACACATGCGTATAATAGGTGTAATTAGGAATCAATATAGATTAGATCGATGAATTACAATCTGATACTCTAGGTGGTAGTTACGGACACATCCAAAACGACCTTAAATAGGGCCTGGACCTGTTCTAGAGATTTCGTTCTAGATTTATCCAGAAAAAGGTCGATTTGGAACTGGTCCTGGGTTTTGTGGAGGCTTGGATGGGATTTGGCAGATTCCATCATCCATCGGCCTATAAATGGTTGCTTCGCAGGCGGCGTGTCCGACTCCTGTTGACTTTGCCAAGCAAGGGGTTGCCCAGCATTCATGAATCTATATAATTACCCGTAACATGAACATATGTAAAGACTGGTGTCATTATTCAAGATATGGGTGTATCTGAAAATGGGGGATGCCCTTAAATGGTCTTAACGGCAACTTTAGTAGGCACAATGAATGAACGTCGATGATAATCCATTGACAAATCCAGATGTTCATATCTTTGTTAGGTCTTCGCCAACCACCAGCGCAGGACCTGAGTTCTGACATGGCGTGCCTCGATGATTTTTCACTCAAATGGAGCAGTGGCTGCTAAAGACCTGTTGGTTGATGCTTTATAAAACCGGCATTTACAGGGGAAAGCCTCAATCATTTGGGGATATATGGGGATATGACTGAGAAATGGTAGGTCTGTTGATGATTGTATACTGGTGGGTTAACAATCTTTGATAACATTTGTAGGGCTTTTACATGGTGATATGATTGATAAATGATTGTTTGTTGATGATTGTAGGGGGTTATATTGCCTGCTATATTGGAGATGATCAAAACCCTTATGGGAATCCCTATCTGCCAACCAGTATTGAATGACATTTCGAGTTTTGAACATTGCTCAAATGTTGGGTTTCAGGGTTATCTGCTAAGGATTTCCTAGAAATTTCCTTTGCTGTTTGAAGTTCATACGATGGCTCGATGTCAGAAAATTCGTTCGTACCGGGGCCTGGAACCAAGGCAACTGCTGGAAAGCGAGGGTGATGTGTGCTTGCAGGCCGTGTCTGTGAGACGACTAGTCATCTTATTTGATACGCACATGTATCCAGAATTATCCAGATATGGATATAGGGATACACATACATACATATATATATATACATATACATATATACATATACATATATACATATATGCATATATACATATATACAATTACATACAATTACGTGCATATATATACACATATATATATATATATATATTGACATTGCTATTGATGCAATGTTTTATGTCTGATGACGTACAACAAATTCCGAAAAGTTGGATGCAACCGCAGGTGGGGCAGGAAGTGATCACGGCGCACAGCATCATTTTGCAAGGTCCTCAGGTGGCAACCCATTTTTCAACTGGCTCCAAGTGAATCAACGCTGGAAGTGTGAAAAAACATAGGAAAGTCAGCACGTACGGCGTGTTTGCAGCACATGGGAATTTAAGATAACTAAATGGGAAGTTACTTAGTTATTTTCATATGAGAGTGGATGAAGCATGGTTTCTGATTTGACTCCACGATTTTGATGGGACAACTGGTTGTTTAGGCAAGGTACAGTCAGGGTCCACAGGGTCCAGGCGAACTCTTCTGGTTTCATGGGGTGGTTGACGATGATCCATACGCCATAGTGGTTTGAAACTTTGAAACCACCAATAAGTCATGGAAAAAATCCCAATAGGTCGCTGTGCCAATGCGTGCCACATAATGGTTTGTCCCATTTTCATGGGGCATAGCCCAACAAAATGAATGAATCAACATGGCTTATTCTGAGAAAGAAGATGGTGATAAACTATTTAGTGGTAGTACATGTGGTGTATTTTCAGACAAACCGACATTTTGGTACGAAGTCATTGTGCTTGAAGGGGGGTTTGTTCCCAAGTCGCTAAGTATTGAGACACAGTCGGGCTAGCGATGGCGACGTCATCTCTATATTTTCACTGCCAACTTACATGTTTCATTTACAAATTCTCACTCTCAACTAGTGCATAGTGAATAGTGTAGCCGGTAGTTTTGGTTGTCCGCTTGCAATCCTGGAGCCCCTTTCATCTGGAATAGATTATCCCATATTATCCCTTTTTGGGAATGCCCACCATCCACCGGAATCCAAAGCACTGCAGGTCGACCCGATCTCCGGTGTTCAAAGCGATGCTGTCGCATTCCATGAAGGAGATGGATGCCAGGGGTGCCCTGGAGCCCCAGAAAACGTGGAGCCAAAGACAAAGGTGGTGAATCCCTCCATTGAACTATATTGAACTATATTGAACTCCAAGAATAAACAACATATTAAACAACCCTTCGGACACCAGGGGCAGTTTTGAATCTCATCATTTTTGGGGCCTTTTTGGGGGCTCTTTTTGGGGTCGGGATTGTGCAACAATAGTTGCATCCCAAGAAGCGTGGTGTCATCACCAGCATGACCAATGCAAGTGATTCTGTTTGGTTTCGAGTTTCCATCCCTTACTTGAGATTAATTCATATTTCATCATATTTCCCTCTGGTAAACTAGCATAGCTATTGAAAATTGCCGTTGAGTTCGTTGATTTACCCATTAAAGCTATGGTGATTTTCCATCGTTTTCGGTACGTTTACCAGGAAAAATCGATGAGCTTCGAAGGTGAGATCCATGAGATTTCACCAGATGTCCGGTCCGTTGATCATGTCCGGTTTTAAATGGGGGAGCCTCCAAATATCCATGGGTTTCTGATGGTTTATCAATGGTTTAAAACCATGGTTTATATTGGTTTATATGACAATGATAATATATGATAACATATGATAATATATGATAATATATGATAATATAATACATGATGATACTTACTGTAATTGGCACCCCCTCAATTAAACTATTTCAACAAGCCTTTGGGGTTGATTCATCCAGGGTTGACATGGCAGGAGCAGAGCTCGCGACAAGTGGAGATTTGCGACCTGGAAGCTTCTGCGGTGTGCCACTCAATCGGGCCAGCGGGTCGCAACACGCCCATTTCGGGGTTTCAATTTGTGAAAGCTGGGAATTCCCTGGAAGTGGCAATCGCACTTTGGACTAGAATATCCCACCCCCAAAAAAAAAACCTTGCTTTTCTCGTGTTTCTCGTGGTCAGGATGTGAGATTTGTGTTTGCGTTGCCTCATTCGACTGCGGCTCAAAGTGTTTGAAGTTGCCAGTGTCTTGCAGCCACTAGCCAACGCAGACACCATCCGCACCTCCACTTGTACACCAACAGCAACAGCCGCCATGTCCGCCGCCATGTCCGCCATGTCAGTGGAAACCCCGTGGTTCGTGGCGCAGAAGGTCTTGCTATTGTTAAAACTGAAGTTGCAGAACAATCAGGACTGAACAGCTAGTAACCAGAATGGCCGCCTAGCTGCGGTGAGAAACTGAGATGCTGATCACTAAATTGTTTTTACTTCGAACTACAGGCCCAACATCCTCAAAAGGTTCCAACAATGTGTTCTCCCCAAAATGTAGCGACCACAAAAAAAAAATAGAACAGCAAAAATCCTACTAAACTATACTAAACTAACAGTTTCTAGATTCATCTAGACCATCTAGATTCTATATTTTTCTATCTTTTCTTTTGGGTTACTATAATTTACTATATATCTCCAAACATCCCATTTTTTTTCCGCAGCCATGGCTAGGAGATCAGCCGTGACGCTTTGTTGGCCTGCGAGTGTCCCGGTGACAACGAGGACGACGAGGTCCTGCTTCCCGTGGATTTCCGCACCCTGGAGGAGCACTTTGGCTTCGGCGGCGAAGGCGAGGGCGAGCAGCCGGAGCTGGTGGATGAGGACGGCCGCATGGATCCTGGGCCTGTTGGGACCATGTGGGACCATGGCTGGGGAAAGCAAAGTGTTACCAATATTGAACATGATGAAATGCGTGGGACTTGGGGGGAGGTGATATGTTTTGCGTTTTTTTTTTGTGTGGACCAATAGGCTGCCCCAGCCACTCTGACTGAGTGAGTGGCTGAGTGGCTGCCGAGCGGCTCTGAGTGAGTGAGTGGCTGAGTAGCTGCTCCAGCCACTCTGGCAGAGTGGCTGAGTGGCTGCTTCGATTTCTCGAGCCGTGCTGCACATCCACGCGAACAATATCAATAATTGGGGTGGGAAAAGTGAAACTCAAGGATGGTTTTGCTCGAGAAAATGAACATAATGATTGACTTGAGTGTTGGGAGTGGTAGATGTTCCAGTTTGGTTTGAGGCGGAAGTCCTACGGAGAGAAAAGTGAAGATAGAAATACTATAAGAAGCTAGCCCTAGCTATCCTTTCCAAGTATCATATTAAGCATCTCCAAGGCCATCAAAATGTTCTAATGTTACATCGACAATAGTAAAGGGCCACCCCTAAAAAAAATATAATATGCAGTATATACTTCTTTTTAAGGGGGGGATCTTCATTGGATTCTGATTGAGAACCTCTGTTTTCTGATAGGCTTTGGTGAGAATCACAATTAAAAACCATTCAGCCACAATTAAAACACTAAGGAAGGAGGGAAAAAAATACAGCTGAGCCAGAAAGGTTGTTTTCTATTGCAAGTGCTAATTCCAATTTTTAATTGCAAATGCAAGGGCCTGCAAGGGGGTACCCTTTGTGGACCTGTTGTTTGCAATTTTCTAAAAGGATTTTAATAAAGAAAACAGTTTTGTTTGAACAAGGTAAAGTTGTTGATTTGGTAAAGGTTTGCTTTGTTTTTTGCTTTTGAAAAGCATGCAATCACAATTTAAAACCATTTAACCACAATTAAATACACTAAGGAAGAAGGAAAAAATACAGCTAGAGCCAGAAAGGTTGTTTTTTTATTGCAAGTGCTAATTCCAATTTTTAATTGCAAATGCAAGGGCCTGCAAGGGGGTACCCTTTGTGGACCTGTTTTTTTCCATTTTTTTAAAAGGATTTTAATAAAGAAGACAGCTTTTTTGAACAAGGTAAAGTTTTTGATGTGGTAAAGGTTCGCTTTGTGCTTTTGAAAAGCATGCAGTCACAACTTAAAATTTTAAAACCATTCAACCACAATTAAAAACACCAAGAAAGGAGGGAACAAAAATCAGCTAGAGCCAGAAAGGTTGTTTTTTTATTGCAAGTGCTAATTCCAATTTTTAACTGCAAATGCAAGGGCCTGCAAGGGGGTACGCTTTGTGGACCTGTTGTTTGCAATTTTTGAATGATTTTAATAAAGAAAACAGCTCTTTTGAACAAGGTAAAGTTTTTGATTTGGTAAAGGTTTGCTTTGTTTTTTGCTTTTGAAAAGCATGCAATCACAATTTAAAACCATTTAAACCACAATTAAATACACTAAGGAAGAAGGAAAAAAAATACAGCTAGAGCCAGAAAGGTTGTTTTTTTATTGCAAGTGCTAATTCCAATTTTCAATTGCAAATGCAAGGGTCTGCAAGGGGGTACCCTTTGTGGACCTGTTTTTTCCATTATTTTAAAAGGATTTTCATAAAGAAAACAGTTTTTTTTGAACAAGGTAAAGTTTTTGATGTGGTAAAGGTTTGCTTTGTTTTTTTCTTTTGAAAAGCATGCAATCACAATTTAAAACCATTCAACCACAATTAAAAACACTAAGGAAGAAGGGAAAAAAATACAACTGAGCTGTAACTGGTTCTGAGTTTTTTTCCTGCATCCATACTAAATTTCAATTAGCCATTGTACAATTTAGTATTGGAAAAATCTGATAATTTGGGAATTTTGTGAAAATTATTTGCAGCTATTGCGAGTGCAGCACAATTATTGCAGATGCTCTGGACCAAGATTGATGTCTGTAATTTAAAATCAATAAGGCCTAATTTAGTATCAATAGGGGCTGAAAAATCAGATTCTGAAAATTATTTGTAGCTATTGCACGCGCTTTACTATTGTCCATCCAACATTAATATCCAAGATGGTTGGTGGTTTAAAACATTTCTTATTTTCTGCTTCTTGATATGATTCCCTCAACATGTTTCAAGTGGCTTGAAGCCACCAATCACTAAGGATCTCGACTTTCTGATTGGAAAGTTTGGAGAGAAGGGAGTTGCAGAGGCCTTCGTCAAAGCGCAACAGGCGTGGTTCTCATTACCACCTAAAGTTATTCCTCTCAAACCTTGGCGGACAATATATATATATATATACATGTGTGTGTGAATAAATAGTTAACAATAAATAAACACATGAATAAATACATACATACATGCATGCATGCATACATACATACATACATACACACACACATATATATATATATATATACATACATATACATATACACGAGCATGCATGCGCACACAAGCATGTAGAAAGATTGACAGACCAGCAAATGAGTCGAAATGTGCGTGTGCATTAATGATAATAACAGTAATCACAACCATAATCATAATCATAATAGTAATAATACATGCGCATGGTTTGAGTTTGGTTGGCCATATGGCAGTAGATTGGCAATATTCTATTTGGTTTCCCTTTCATATCTAATGTTGGGTGTCAAAAAACCTGCATCAAAGAAAGCTACGAAACTGGATTCAATCTACTCATATCTGCTCTGTACATCACATTACAGTACCTTACATTACCTTACATTACATTAACTTACATTGCATCAACCCCACATATGCATACATACATTTGACATACATTTGACATACATTGACATACAGTACATACAGTACATACATACATTCATGCATGCATGCATGCAGACAGACAGACAGACACACACACACACCCACACCCACACGCACACGCACACACGCACACACCACACACGCACACACGCACACACACACACACACGCACACACACGCACGCACGCACACACACACACACACCCACACCCACACACCCACACACAGACATACATACATACATACATACATACATACATACATACATACATACATACATGCATGCATGCATGCATACATGCATACATGCATACATGCATACATGCATACATGCATACATGCATACATGCATACATGCATGCATGCATGCATACATACATACATGCATGCATACATACATACATACATACATACATACATACATACATACATACATACATATGTATAACACACACTTGCATAAATAAATAAATAAATATATATTTACATACAATATATATATATATATATACACATATATGTTTTATATGTATATGTCAATTACTGTGTGCATTTGGTCATGGCTAAGCCTCTGCAAGTTCGAAAAGTTTCGTTCGCCCGGCTCCAGGTCTGGCTGGAAAATCGGCACCAGATCCCGCCGCAGGAACGGGACGGCCCCATCAAGGCAGCCGAGTGGAAACGCGAGTGGTGCCCTGGTCCAGTACTGTTTGGAGGAGATGTAAGTCGCTTATGAGATGTACCCCAGTTGTGGAATAAGTGGGGTTACTCCACTTATAACTGGGGTGAACTAAGCCACTTACGATTTGTGGGATGAGCCACCATAAGTAGGGATTTCCCTTGATTTTCCCTCTGCGAATTTATCATAGCTGTGGAAAATTATAGGCAATCATCCAACTAAATGGGCGATTTCCCATACGTAGGGTACTCATTGTGGTCAGGTGTGAGATCATCAAAGCTTCCCTGGCTGCAATTGCTTCTTGCGCCCTTAAATCAGAGCACTTGACCTGAAGGTCCGCAATTTCACAGTATTTTTGGCGGCCTGAGGTTGAATTTGGCAATGTACCAACCTTCCCAGCTAGAAACAAGAACCCAACACCAAAAGTCAAACCATGGACCCTGGGTAATAAATGAGCTTTGAAACCAACATTTTCAGCCTCCATCTTGGATCTAGATACTGATTTCTGGCAAGGTGCGTCGCGGCATGGGGCGAAGAAGGCGAGGAAGAGGAATTGCTGGAGGAGGATGCTGAGTATCATGGCAGTTGAGGTTTCGCCCAGAACGAATCCCTAAGAGTTTGTGTTTGGATGATCATTCGGCTTTGTGATGGAATACTCAAAGGTGCCTCAATAAAAGCACGCAGAATTGAGGTTCTCTTAGCATCAAGCCCTGGCTTACCAACTCTCTATTCGGATAGCTAGAGGCTGTCCCTCCGCCCAAGGTATGCAGAGGGTACCGAGGTGCCCCAGGAAGAAGAGGAAGTGGAAGAACCTGCCTTGAAGCGTAGAGTTGTGGCGGATCCCTGAGCCAAATGGGTCAAAGAAACAGGGATGAAACATGTCGAAATGGCGGATGAACATGGATGAACTCAGATGAACTCATGAATTTCCTGAAAAACGTGGGTTTCGAGATCGAAACTTTTTGACCCATGCCCCAGGTCAGCCAACGTTTAATTCACCATTGGGCCACCTGAGTCCAGCGTTAGACAGCTTCAAAAAGTCTGTGTGTCCACAAAAACACGGTGGAAAATGAGAGTTTGACAAGAGTGGATTGATGATAAGAATGATTTTAGGGTGTTTTAGGTTTTTTTCTCCCAGAAAGCCGCGTCTCGTTTCTCTTAAATTGGATCTTTATGGATTTTTGCTGTAGGTGAGAAGGATGGTTGAGTACATGTACACCGGCAAAGTGGCAGGGGCCTTGGCTGCAGACACAAAGTTACCCTTTGGGTGGGCATTGTTCATCCAACCGGGATGGTAGGCCACAGCAGTGTCCGTGCAGCTTCCCAGCATGGATGAGTGGTTCTCAGGCGGCTGTTTTGGGGGACAATGAGCCCACGGTTGCCTTGCTGCAGGCCGTTTGGAAGATTGGTTTTTCTTATTGGCAGTTAATATTTCCGGAGTCCATGTCAAGATTGGTTGTGGGTGTATCCCCAGTTTTGTGAGGAAAGACTGATGCACTCAGAGTGTTCAGTCAATTTTTTGGGGCACGCCGGCATTTGGCAAAGTCGTTCCTGGTTTGGCTAAAAAAACGTTGTTCCGTTCGGGAGAGTGTTTCGGAAGAGTCGCGCCCTCTGAAAGAATGCATAGAACTCTGGAGGCTCATATGCAACTCTTTTCTTTTGAGATCCCGTTACTCATCACCATCATCCCAAGCGCTTTCCGGTGCTTGGGTATGTTGTTTTGGCAGTTTTTACATATGAACCAAACAGCTTTAGGTGGTGATTCGCCACAGCTTCGACAGCTTGCTTCATAGGGTATCTCATGAATATTCCATCTAATGTTCCATCTATTATAGTCCATCTATTATATTCCATCTATATCCATCTATTATTATAGTCCATCTAGTATTCCATCTAATATTCCAGTCATAGTCCATTCATATGGCATTTTGGGATATTGCATCTGATTACAATATTAATTATACATGTTCACCTCAAATGACCTCCAGGCCGCTCACCGATACCAGGTGAAGGCGATGGGAGATGGCTGTGCTATGGATTTGGGTTTAGATTCTGGATGGATTTAGAATGATATGGGATTTGGAATTTGGATTTGGGAGGCTTTAAATGGCTTTAAGGTTAAAGGATGGTAAAGGGCATGGCGCATGGCTAAGCCCTTTAAGAAAATCAGCATATCGATCTATGATTCCTCTACGATTCGATCAGGGCCTCGTGGATCTCTGTGTGGCCGCGGTGGCATCCAACTTGAAATTGGAGACCTCTGCTGACCGGTGCGCCGCGATTTCGCTGTGTGATACCATGAGGATACCATGGCTTGGGAGTTTGGTGCCACAAAAAAACTGGACGATCGGAAAAGAGCCGTTTTGTTTCGGAAAAGCCCAAGTCGTCTGTATGAAGCTCTGTATGTGAAGAACTGTTACCCTCGGGCAATTTAACATAGCCATGGTATAGATGGCCCATTTATAGATGGTTTACCAATTAATAGCATGGTGGATCTTTCCATGGCGAACTGTTAGTCATAACCAGATGGTAAAGATCCCACTGATCCCACTGATCCATCAGATCCATCAGATTCTCGTGCAGCGCTGCAGACCTTGCAGGTTAATGCTTGCGGAGCACATCGGCATCGATTCACTGAAACGTTGGGGCCCGAGGGTGGACGCCCCACCAGTTGATGGTCTGTGGATGATTCGTTGTGCCTCCAAATGGAATCAGAACAGGGACAAAATTGCAACTGCTACTACATTGGCTTTCAGGAACTGTTGCTACATCGGCTGGTTCAGGAATGATTCCGAAATTATGGAGACATCCGCGTGTTGTTTCTTAGCACACTTTTTGAATCGTGACACTTCTGGTGGCAAAGCAATGCAGGGAATGCCCCTTGACTCCCGTGCTCCAGTGACCCAGGAGACTGTTTGTCCATGATGGTGACCTCAACAGCCCATGTGCGGGAAGTGCAGCATTCTGAGGCAACTTCCGGTGTTTTCTCAGCGGGACATGGCCATGGGTGGCCAACTTTCACCGCTTTGGTGGGAAAAATGTTATTCGATTCTCTGTCTTGGGCATGCCAAATATATCAAAGTCACGAGTCACAAGTGTGTCATTGCTTCTCCACCTGCCAGATCCATGGACTGCAACTTTCAGGGGCCATGTTTCTTGAGGTTCTTGAGATCTCAGCGCCCTTGTCATGTTGAACAGCAAGTGATGATCAACCAGTGGATTGATATATATATATATAAATATAATATAGTTTGTTCCCCCCATCCCTCCTATGGGATGGGTTATGATGGGGTAGAACCTGGGCAGGCCTACAGGCACTTGAGATCCAAGCGGCACGGATGCCCAGAATTGGCTGGATGATGCTAGATTCCGCCAGATGTAAAGCCTTGAAAGCTAATCACTTTGGGTGAGTGAAATTCTGTGAAAGACATATGAAAGGAAAACGCATCACTAGGATTGCGGGGGAGTTGCGCTGCTCTTCACCGGTAGCTGGGCCGGTGTGCAAAGATGTGCAAAGATTTGCCAGGAAAAACTGCCGGAAACCGGGGGATCTTACCTCTAAAATACATTAAAATACACTGTGTTTCCCTCATAGCTAGAAGTGATGTGTCTATACTGTCTATACCCAAGAAAAGATCGTTTATTGGGAAACTTGTGAGGTTCCCACAGGTTCTTCTCTGGATTTCAGAACTTACTTGCCCATTATGGGGTGGGTCGACCGCCAATCTGTCTGAAAAAATTGAGCGATACCTCAGTTAGGGATGATGGCCCCAAAGATATGGGGCTGATCTGTATAGCAAGTTGCACAAAACAAAAAAACATGTTCTTTTACGATCCAAACATTGGAGGCCTCCTTGGAGTAATTTTCCATAATTTTCCCTTGCCTTTGATAATCAAACATGGCGAAAATACCCCATATATACAGTACATATTAATATTATAGATATACCCTCTGGTAATTTAACGTAGCTATTGAAAATGGCCCATTTATAGTGGATTTACCCATTAATAACGGTGATTTTCCATAGTTATGTTAGTTTACCAGAGGGTAGATATATTAGATATGTAGATAATTGTCCTCCACTTGAAGTGTCGATTGAGAGGGGATGTTCCAGCCATCTTTGATTACCAGCCAGGGTAGATTAGTTCAAACTATTCTCCCAATGATGATCACAAGTTTTTTTTTTACATTCTCAAAAAAAAAACTAAACTGAAAATGCATATCATTTCCTAAACATTTTCCGAGCCAGTTATCAATGGATTGGATTAAGGGAAAATTTACAGGAAAACCCCATATTTAATGGGAAAATCTATGGTTTCCTGTAAATTTTCCCTTAAACCAATCCATTGAAGTTATTATCCCCATGATATCCCCATGATATCCCCATGATGTCCGACCAATTCTGAGGCCAGCCCTGGCTGCAGATCTTTTGGCCGCAGCCTTTCCCAGCAAGACCTCGAGGCCTCGACCGAGATGTCCACCCGAAAATATGCCCGAAATGCCCAAATACCCTCTGGTAAACTAACATAGCTATTGAACATGGCCATAGAAATAGTGGATTTTCCCATGAAAAATGGTGATTTTCCATAGTTATGTTAGTTTACCAGAGGGTATATCGATCTGAAAATGGTAGATGAACATAGATGAAGCATCCCAATTTATGGGAGTTTTATGAGAGTTTTCCATGGGAAAAGGATGACCAACCATGAAATTCAGAGTTTTTCAAATTAGATTCGGTTCGCCCCCGCAGGTGCACGGTGAGCCGCTGAGCGATGGCCGCGTTCGAACGGCTCCACAGAATTGGATGTCAATTGATGCCCATTGGTTTCTTGGAACTTTCTTTATACCAACATGGCAATTTTACAGTTACTGTACCATTTATAATATTTGTAATTACCTAAGGTTCTTTTACACACCGGGATGTGCAAAGACTAAGTGCCATGAACATTTCTGGTTTTCAGTTGCTGGGTTTGGGTTGGGTGGAATCTCAGCGTTCGCAACGCGAGCGCGCAACAATTAGCTGGTGCGTGGGAAAAAGATGGCTGTAGGAGTTGATCGGATGCGCGCTTGAAGAGTTCAGTCTTTTGGATATCATACCATGGGACGACATTATTGCCTATTATTGGTCATTTTTCGTATTTACTCTCTGGTGATTTAGTGGTTTGCCAATGTTTGCGATGGAAATGGCCATGTTTCAGAGGCAAATCATCTACACATCATCTACAAACTGGGCAATTTTTGATTGCAAACTGCAAACTGTTAAATGTCCAGAGGGTAACCATCCCAAATTCAGATAAACTTCTGCTTCATGAATCTGGCTCGCCAGTCGGAGTATCCGCCACCGCTGGCCTCGAAATAGAAAGGCTCCGAATGTTTGACTGGATTTGTGGTTTCAGAACGTTTCAGATATATAAGTTAAGTGTTAGTAGGTGAAAAATTAAAAGTGGTGGTGATGGGATAGCAGGATAGCACAAAATATCAGAAAATGATTCGCATTCATCATTTGTTTGTCTAATGTGGATGGCACGAAATTATTCACATTGTTCACCCCCAAGACTGGATGCTGACATGTAAAACCAAGAAACAAATCTGGAGTCCCTGGGCTGGCAGATCCAAAGATCACCAAGCCCAAGTGTTGGGACGAGTGGAAACCAGTGGAAACCACTGGCCAGTTGACCGTGAATCGCTCCACTGCTCAAGGAAGCAAGATGATGTTGGATGGCGATGCCTGAATTCAGGGCAAAACAAGATCGCTACTTTTTCTTCCAACGAAACCAGAGGTGAAACACCATGGTTTCACTCTGGGATGCAGTTGCGCACTCCCATGTGATACAGCTCAGGTGGATGGGGGTTGCAGGTCAACTGGTACAATAGGACGAAACTGTACATACCAGCGCCGACAAGCGCTGGCCTGGAGCCTTGGAGAAAACATTGCCAGATGCAAGCGGAGATACCAGCTGTATCTAACCACGGAGGATCCAGGGATGGTTGATAATGTTGATATCCCTACAAAACCGGGAGCTCATGGGGAGCTCAAAAAGCCCAAGTACCCGCACGATTTCTGATGTCAGGTCCCGATTTTCCGGGTGTGGCCGGGTGTGGCCATAAGTTCCAGCGGTAAAGTTTAGGGGCATTTGCCTGGTGATTTTATGTTTTTTTTTTTCATTTGTTTAGTTCTCGTTTTTTTTGGGGGGGTGGCAAGTTAATTAGTGATACTCGCGCTGATTTGTGGTTTTATCATCTCATATGCCGGTTTGTAGGCTATATTCTATATGAATTATCCAGTGTATCTGTAGTTATTTGGCATATTGCAAATGTTCCGCGAAAACTGAAGCCATTTTCTAAACCGTGGGATGCATCATGATGCATCTAGATCATGTGATCTGATTTTCAAACCAACCTATGTGATCACATATTCCATATGGTGCTACGATTGAAAGGACACATTTATATACAGGACCCCACGCATATTTACTATATTGAGATATTAATAGATGTTTACAGTTTACATATATTTACTATAGGGAAAACCATGGGGAAACCATGGAACAACTCGAAACGAACTAACAAAACTGGCCGCCAATGCTGTTGTTCAAGCTCGGCGGGAGCAGATCAGACTCCCAGCTCGCAGGGCTTGCCGCAGGCAGGGCCGCAGGACTTATTGGGACTTTCTGATTCAAACGTGTTCCTAGACTTGGTGCTATGATATGCTATAGTGTGGTTAAAGCAATAGTAAGCCAAATGGGCGGTATAAACCATCAACCTATGGGTGGTTTATGACATTGCTTTACTAACATTACACTGAATTGATCTTCAATATCCAATGGCATGCTCCATGACTTTCAACAGTTCTAGTGTCGCGACTTTGCATTTTTCCCGAATGGGTAGCAAGGGTTCCCGTTTCACTCTGGGGGTCTGGGGGTTGAGAGTGTGTTCGCTCGACGTTGCGTCCGCGTCCGCAACCGTTCGCAACCGTTCGCAACCGTTCGCAACCGTCCGCAACCGTCCGCAACCGTTCGCAACCGTTCGTACGAACTCCGTATGGCCGTGCCTATGGGAAGTTCTGCAGGAGTGGTCCTTTTTGGCGTTTTCAGACGTCGGGTTGCTTCGTTTCGCGTGGCAGGCGTGGCACTTCGTGACATTCAGACGTGTTCTGGAACGTGTCGAAATTCGTTTTGCGTGGCAGGCGCAATACTTTTGCGACGTTTTCACAAGATGTGTTACAGTTTCCGTGGCAGGCGCAACACTTTGGACGTGTCCATTGTCATTTTTCGTGGCAGGCGCAGCACTTTAGACGTGTCGTGTTGCGTGTTGTTTGTAAATCGCATTGACAGGGCTGCGTCAAGTGGCGACAAGGTTCAAAGTCCGTGGCAGGCGTGGCATTTTGTGACATGTACTGAAAATTGACGGAAGCCTCGCACGAAACATCGATTTTGAGGTTGCAAATTTTCAGGTTCTAAGGAAAACTCGTAGGAAAACGTCGATTTTGAAGCTGCAAAGTGTCAAAATTGGAGGAAGTCTCGTACGAAATGCTCGTTTTGGTGCTCCCACGTGTCTCATCTCCAGTCTCGGGTTTTCCCGTGGCCTCGCCGTGTCTATGGGGGAAGCTGCAAAACCTGTCCTTTTGTCATGTTGCCAACTGTGAAAATTGCCGGAAGTCTCGTACGAAATGATCGTTTTGGTGCTCCCACGTGTCTCGTCTCGAGTCTCTGGTTTTCCTGTGGCTTCACCGTGTCTATGGGGGAAGCCGCAAAACATCTCCTTTTCGAAGGTTTCCAAGGAAGTTGTCATGTCGTTTTGCGTGGCAGGCGTGGCACTTTGTGACATTCCAACCTGTTTGATAATGTGTGGAAAATATCAAAATTGGAGGATTCTCGCACGAAATGCTCGTTTTTTTGCACCCACGTGTCTCGTCTCGAGTCTCTGGTTTTCCTGTGGCGTCGCCGTGTCTATGGGGGAAGCTCCGCACTCCACACTACACTTTACACTCCACACTCCACAATTTACACTTTAGACCCCACACTCTACACTTTACACTCCACACTTTACACTTTGCACTTTATACTCCTCACTCCTCACCTGAGACTTTACACTCCACACTCCACACTTTACACTACACTCTACACTTTCCACTCCCCACTCCTCACTCTACACTTTACACTCCACACTCCACACTCTACACTTTACAATCCACACTCCACACTTTACACTACACACTCCTTACTTTACACTCCACACTTCACACTCCACACTTTCCACTCCACACTCCTACACTTTACACTCGTCACTTTACACTCTACACTCCACACTCTACACTTTACACTCTACACTTTACACTCTACACTCCACACTTTACATTTTACACTCCACACTCTACACACCACACTCTACACTTTCCACTCCACATTTCGCACTCCACACTTTACACTCCACACTCCACACTCTACACTTTACACTCCACACTCCACACTTTACACTACACACTCCTTACTTTACACTCCACACTTCACACTCCACACTTTCCACTCCACACTCCACACTCCACACTTTACACTTTACACTCCTCACTCCACACTTTACACTCCTCACTCTACACTTTACACTCGTCACTTTACACTATACACTCCACACTCTACACTTTACACTCTGCACTTTACACTCTACAGTCCACACTCTACACTTTACACTCTACACTCCACACTTTACATTTTACACTCCACACTCTGCACACCACACTCTACACTTTCCACTCCACATTTCGCACTCCACAGTTTACACTCCACACTTTACACTTTACACTCCTCACTCCACACTCTACACTCCACACTCCCCACTTTACACACCACACTCCACACTCTACACTTTCCACCCCACACTCCGCACTCCACACTCCACACTTTACTGTGCACTCCACACTCCACACTTTATACTTTACACTCCTCACTCCACACTCCACACTTTGCACTCCTCACCTTACACTCCACACTCCACACTCTACACACCACACTCTACACTTTCCACTCCAGACTCCACACTCTACACTTTACGCTCCACACTCCACACTTTACACTCCACACTCCACACTTTACACTCCACACTCCACACTTTACACTCCTCACTCCACACTCCACACTTTACACTCCTCACTCCACACTTTACACTCCTCGCTCCACACTCCACACTTTACACTCCTCACTCCACACTCCACAGTTTACACTCCACACTTCACACTCCACACTTTCCACTCCACACTCCACACTCCACACTCCACACTTTACACTCCACACTCCACACTTTACACTCCTCACTCCACACTTTACACTCACACTTTACACTCCACACTCCACACTTTACACTCCACACTTTACACTCCTCACTCCACACTTTACACTCCTCACTTTACACTTTACACTCGTCACTTTACACTCTACACTCCACACTCTACACTTTACACTCTACACTGTACACTCTACACTCCACACTTTACATTTTACACTCCACACTCTACACACCACACTCTACACTTCCCACTCCACATTTCGCACTCGACACTTTACACTCCACACTCCACACTTTACACTCTACACTTTACACTCCATACTCCACACTCTACACTTTTTACTCCGCATTCTACACTTTACACACTCTACACTCCCCACTCCACACTTTACACTCCACACTCCTTACTTCACACTCCACACTCCACATTCTACACTTTCCACCCCACACTGCAGACTGGTAACAAGGGAAACATGTACAAGACTGTTCAAATATAAACGATTGCAGAAATGTATTGTGCGTGACTGCATAACCATGTGTTTTGACATCTGTGCCATTAACATACGTGTGAGCATTCGGGTTCGTGGGCTTCATCTTGTTTCCCTCTAGTTGGAGCATGTTGGAGCAGTTTTTGATGGGCCTGAAATTGAAGACATCACAACAGCTTCGCTTGAAGAATCCGGCGGTTTACATGACACCCAGGCCACAATGCGCGGGAACAAGCACACTGGTCGCAAACACAAGAATCAGAACAAGAAAACCAGGCATCGTTCGGCATTGCTGTTGGAGGAGCAAAGGAGCTAGGGCAGCTAGGGATGGTTGATGATGGTTGATGATGGTTGATGATGGTTGATGATGGTTGATGATGGTTGATGATGGTTGATGATGGTTGATGTTCCTTGTTTGACATGGAGAGCTCAAGAATCACTAGAATCACCGGGAACTTGGATTTCCTTCATCCGTGAACGTGGCATGAAGACTGGCCAGGCCTTCGGTCATCGCGAAGAAGCGCAGGAACAAAGATATCGACCAAGTTCATGAGGACCTGAAGGTGCACCGAAACGGACCGAAAGCAACGCCTGGGGCCTGGCGGGCCTGGCGCCTGGGGTGCTGACTTGAAGCTGGACTTCACGGAAAAATGATTGAAGCACAATGAAAGAAATAGATTAAATAGATACAAATAGTGTAAATAATTAATGGAGAGGGAGAGAGAGAGAGTAACAAAAAATTAGGGGAAATTTGGCTTCTGTGCAGCTGTTGGTTTGCTTTCTGCCACTGCTTCCAGTTGCTGTGCCTTGATCAAATTCAGCCGTTGCGCAGACACCACAGAACTTCCAGCCTGGCACCTTGCCACGAGATGAGGATTTGTGGCTTGGCAATGTCCACATTGGTGGGCCCATTGGGATCATTGGGTCTCATTGCGGGGCCAGTTGGTGTGGTGAGTATCAGATATCAACAGCACATGATTATAACATATTATAACATATTATAACATTACTATATAGATTATATATGTGATTTTGTTTCATGCCATTTTTCATCATCGGTCCATGTGCTGCATAAAAGGTAAATCCTTGCAGCCATGCAATCGCTTTCAAATGAATGGGACAACAAAATCAGCCCTGGAAATCGGAAACCATGGTACATGTGTATGGATCAATGCACTTTAGTTTGAGTCAGCGCAGTCCAGTTTTCTGAGTGCAGATCGTGGCAGATCAGTGCGCCGGTGAAGCCTTGAAGAAATCTCTCATGAATTCTATGATTGCTTGAATATCTTGAATCCAAGCCATCCAAGCCCTTTTTTTTTCCATTAGTTCCCATCCTGAGGTCCTTAGTTCCCGGCGCCAAAGGTCCCCCATGGCCCCATGGGGCCCTATGATTCGACCAGGCCTGGCATGGGGCAATTCTATTGCATTGCCTGCCCGGGACCTTGGGGCCTTCGGGACCTGAATATGAAACACCCCTAGGCCCTAGGCCCTATGGTCCCAAAATGTCCCTTAAATATGTGTAAACCCCTTAGCAAACATGGTTTCTATTGGGTGTGTTTCATATCTTGGACTAGATCATGGGCCTTAATGGGTCAGGATGTTTCTGGAACTATGGTTGAAGAGCTAAATTTAAATGTGATCTCCCCTTGACTGTCCCACAAGATCCGAATTGTCATTTAAAGTTGGTATGCAGCTGCGGCTGCTTTTCCTTTGTGCTCCTTGGGTGTATTGCTAAAATTATCATGTTCGAAAGGTCTCCTTACTATTCCTTACTTGTAATGCACGCACACGTGCAGACTGAAAGGCGATCCAGCTTTGTCAATGTAAGGATTGGTTTATTTTAGAGCCCAGGGATGTCCTGGGCTCAGGTTGATTGGGCCAAGGCAACCGCTACTTCGAGTCAGATGAGGTGAAGCAAAAGCACGAACGCTCCAAGTGGCTGATTTCAAAACTCCAAAACCGATGGGGAATGGATGGGTGTTTGATTACTTTGGGGGGTGGCATACTACAAGGGTGAGGATTTGGCCCACTAAAATGTGACTTTCATCCACTAGGACTAGGTTCGGACTTCGAGGCACCGGCGGGACTGTGGGCAAACTAAAATGGAACATCTGCAAAAGAGGAAGGCCAACAGAAATGCGAAGTTGACCGGCAAACAGCATAGTTGTATGTATCTCTAAACAACATAAACAACATCAGCAGGGCTCAGCAGGGCAACAAGAAAACTCAATTCTGCCTTGGGCTTCGTTGGACACGTTCAGCTGGGGGTAGTGTTGTTCACCTATGTTCACCTCACCGTGTCACATCGTGTCACCGAGGTTGCACAAACGGCGGCTGCAGAAGGCATCTGACAACCCACATACGCAACAAGATGCTGAGATGGCTGTGGGATTGACCACCGAACGCTAATGGGCGACCATGTTTCACAAACGCGTTTTTTGCGACCCGATTTTTTGGAGTTGTCCGAAAATGCTGGACCCCAAAAACATCCAAAAACTATCCGAAGTGGTCCACGGTTTATCAACAATCATTGCAATGTTGGCTATAAATACGACATTTTCGGGCACCCCCATGATGTAAATAGCAGTCAGTGATGAACCCCTTTGCAGGGGACAGGCATTGATCAGGCATTGCAGACAGCGACAGAGGTTTCTAGACAGAAACCTCCAGCTGGTTAGTGACAGACCCGCGTGCTACACATGAGCCATGCAAAACACAACTGCAGGATTACCCTCTGGTAATTTAACATAGCTATGGAAAATCACTATTCTTTATGGGAAAATCCACTATAAATGGCCATGTTCAATAGCTATGTTAAATTACCAGAGGGTACTGTAATTATGCGCGATCCAAGCCTAGGACTTGAGATTGTCGTTTCTTTCAGGCATTGCGTTAGGAAAAAATTCTTGTCTTGTGGCAGTAGGATGCATGCGAAAGCTCTGCCACCACTTAGGTCCAAGTCTCAGTCACAGGTTATAAGTTATAATTTATAGAAGTCAGCACTTCAACGTGTTTTGGCCCATGGCCCAGAGCATGGACGGCTTACCACTGCTACTAGCATGTGCCGGGGAAGTGCTCAGGAGTTAAGAGAAGTTTCGGGTCACAAATGTAGACGGAAATTGCATGGACTTTCCTTATCTCCGGGGGTTCAGCATTGATGTGCCCCTTGTGACTTCACAGAATCCCAGCGCATCTCGTCACTTTGGGGTCGCCGTTCCTATTTCTTAGAGACATTTTGGGAGAGCCATTTCTGTTCAACCCTCGAGAAAGTTTTCAGAACGCTCAAATCTGAAATCAACTGATATCAACTGGTAGCTGATTTAAGAAAAACAGCAAACCCGTGTTACATGTCTATATTAATTATATATGTAATATGACATATTTATATGACACATTGATATATAATATAATTATATATATTGAATCACATTTACACACACACACGCACACACACACATATCTATATAATGTTGGACCTGTCGGTTTCTGTGGGTCTGTGGGTTGATTCCGCTCCGCCGCAGCCATGCCGCCCATGCCACCCATGCCGCCGCAGAGCCAAAGTCAAGCTGAAGCCGCAGATTTGGAGGTGTCACCCGGGATGCATGAGATGTTTAAAAGCAGATGACGATGTTCGTTTTTCCCCACCTGCCAGGTGAGGGTTGTTAGATTTTATGTCAGTTGCCTGCTCCTCTCCTCTCCTCCTCATCTCCTCCTCATCTCCTCCTCCTCTCCTCCTCCTCCTCGTCGTCCTCCTCCTCGTCCTCCTCGTCCAACTGCGACCCGCGATCCACAGTGTTCTCTGTCGGACCTCAACCACGACCATCCATGCTCAGTGTTCCCTGCCGGACCTCAACCACGACCATCCACGCCAAGTGTGCCCTGCCGGACCTCAACCATGACCATCCACGCCCAGTGTTCCCTGCCGGACCTCAACCACGACCATCCACGCCCAGTGTTCCCTGCCGGACCTCAACCACGACCATCCACGCCCAGTGTTCCCTGCCGGACCTCAACCGCCATCCACGAGTGTCCCTGCCGGACCTCAACGCGAGTATCCACGCCAAAAGATATGCCACATAGAGTGCCAGAAGATATGCCAGATAGAATGTTAGAAGATATGCCAGATAGAATGCCAGAAGGTATGCCAGATAGAATGCCAGATAGAATGTCAGCTAGAATGCCAGAAGATATGCCAGATAAAGTGCCAGAATGTTTGCCAGATAGAATGCCAGCAGATTTGCCAGATAATATGCCAGAAGATATGCTAGATAGAATGCCAGATGGAATGCCAGAAGATTTGCCAGATAATATGCCAGAAGATATGCCAGATAGAATGCCAGATGGAATGCCAGAAGATATGCCAGAAATATATGCCAGAAGATATGCAGCCAGAAGATATGCCAGAACATCTGCCAGAAGATATGCCAGGTAGCCAGAAGATATGCCAGATAGAATGCCAGATCGAATGCCAGAAAATATGTCAGATAGAATGCCAGAAGATTTGCCAGTAACAAAATGTATAAATGTCATGATGGGGATCACACGAAGTAAAGTATTTTTTTTGCTTCATGAGTTTCCTGCAGTTTCCGAATTTCCGAATGGCCTGGTTTTTGCGATTCCGAAGTTCAAATGCTACTGAGTTCATGTGATTTCCCTGTCCTTTTCCACTTCCAAAAGGTTATATACATACTTGTATATATTATCAGGGGGTTGTATCCATATTTAATTTCTTGGTGTTTGGAGATATTCAAATCAGCAGGTCTTATGCAACCAATGTAGCTATATATATATAATATAGCATATGCAAATATAACGACGGGACCATACTGCAACATTCCAGCCATAGTCAAGTCTCCGGACGGCACCTTCAGCATCAGCTACACCCCTGCGCGCCCGCAAATGTGCAATGGAGTGCGAGCATGAGTCGAAATCCTAAGACCTTGTCTTTTCACACCAAAATAGCTGGTACGGCAAATGGATGTCCACCTAATTTCATTCTCCAAATATGGAACACCATATGGAATGATGACCTGACAGCGATGGAGAGATATCAAACCATAGGTTTTGACCCATCTCCATATCTATCCATCTCTGGATGTCGACTTTGTATGTCTTCGTGTTGTCTTCCTGCGCAAACTGCAGGAAATCTTTTGCCTGAGCTGGGAACGCTGGTCCGAGGTGTCTTAGTTGTTGTAGGGCGGCAGGGCAGCAGTTTTGATGGCTGGAAGGGGTTGGGGTCCAACATTGTCTGACGAGTCTCTCGGACGTTAACGCTGTCAAGAATGGCAGGTGTCTATTTCACACACAAGGCAATGGCCGTATCGTTTCCCACCACTGACACTGGCATACCCAGTTGGCACAAGTAGCAGCAGCAGCGTGCTTTGGAAGAATCTACAAGCATACTGTATATACAAACAAGTACAGTATAGGCATGATGATAGTAACATGAAGTTATTACTACAAATTGATATGTCCGTGTAACTATTGTGCAGATATGGATGGTCAAAAGTTGGATGAATCCACGACTGATGAATCTCATGCTGGGCCATGCCCAGCATAAGGATTCTCATGGCTTAGATGTCCATACCCCATAAATCCCCATAATTCCGATAAGGATTCTCATTCCCCATATATTCTCATGGCTTATTAGTTTTTGATCATGGCTCCTACGAATAATCTCTGCTCCCCAATACTAAAGCACCCCCCCTCCCCCCAAATGCTAAACACGGTGATCTATGTTTATTATTAGGGGGTATTTAGTATTAGGGTGCCCCTAATAATAAAACAAAAACCCTAAAAAACAGAGTTCAAAATCAATTACTTTACTTCGTGTGATCCCCACCATGACATTTATACATTTTGTTACTGGCAAATCTTCTGGCATTCTATCTGACATATTTTCTGGCATTCGATCTGGCATTCTATCTGGCATATCTTCTGGCATTCTACCTGGCATATCTTTTGGCAGATGTTCTGGCATATCTTCTGGCAGATGTTCTGGCATATCTTCTGGCATATCTTCTGGCATATGTTCTGGCATATCTTCTGGCATTTCATCTGGCATTCTATCTGGCATATCTTCTGGCATATTATCTGGCAAATCTTCTGGCATTCCATCTGGCATTCTATCTAGCATATCTTCTGGCATATTATCTGGCAAATCTGCTGGCATTCTATCTGGCAAACATTCTGGCACTTTATCTGGCATATCTTCTGGCATTCTAGCTGACATTCTATCTGGCATTCTGGCATTCTATCTGGCATATCTTCTAACATTCTATCTGGCATATCTTCTGGCACTCTATGTGGCATATCTTTTGGCGTGGATACTCGCGGTTGAGGTCCGGCAGGGAACACTGGGCGTGGATGGTCGTGGTTGAGGTCCGGCAGGGAACACTGGGCGTGGATGGTCGTGGTTGAGGTTCGGCAGGGAACACTGGGCGTGGATGGTCGTGGTTGAGGTCCGGCAGAGAACACATGGGCGTGGATGGTCATGGTTGAGGTCCGGCAGGGCACACTGACGTGGATGGTCGTGGGTGAGGTCCGGCAGGGAACACTGAGCATGGATGGTCGTGGTTGAGGTCCGACAGAGAACACTGTGGATCGCGGGTCGCAGTTGGACGAGGAGGACGAGGAGGACGAGGAGGAGGACGACGAGGAGGAGGAGGAGGACGAGGAGGAGGACGACGAGGAGGAGGAGGAGGAGGAGAGGAGGAGGAGATGAGGAGGAGAGGAGAGGAGCAGGCAACTGACATAAAATCTAACAACCCTCACCTGGCAGGTGGGGAATTAAATCCCTTTTTAAAATCCCCTTAAAATATTGCCAAAGATTGGATTTCGAAGCTTTCCCCTAACAATCAAATTAAAGCTTTTATGAAAAAACAAAAACATGATTTCAAAGTTGATGGGGCCCTCATAATAAACTGACGCGTCTCGTTCTATTTTTATTAAGAGGGGGTACAAACCATTATCTCACCATCCTGTTCTCCTATTGATTTTCTATTACCACAATTAAGAACGCAATTGTGAGCAACCAAAGAAATCCAAAAGTGGCAATCCACTCCTATTTTTATTGATTGGGGGAGTTTTAGTAATAGGGAGAAGAGATTATATCCATGACTCCATGACCTATATTCCATTATATTCCCACAAAGTTCCCATACAAGTGGTCTTTTCATGGGTAGTATGGGAAGGGGGGTCCTCCCATCATTGGAGGTCCCTATAAATTCCACCAAACAGATAGACGTGTGTGTATATATATATATATATATATACAATATTATACATACACAGATGAACTAGCTAACCCGGTTTTATGCGGGATGTATTATAGGGGTTACATCCCAACTTGATGTGCTTCTTTCTATGGTTCCACCCATCAAAATCACTCCAACAACTGCACCCCCAAGTATATCCTAATGGCTAGCTGGAAAATCCCCCATTAAAATCTCCATAATTGTAAGTAGGTTTTGTATCCCACAACATCCCCATGAAGTTTTCATTAGGCGATGTTCCATGATTTTCCTATTTCCCTTGATTTTTCCATGTTTTTTTCCCATGTTTTTTCATGTTTTGATATAGATTTCCCCACCTCGGTGCCAAGGAGCTGGTGGCCGCCGTGGCGCGGCAGCAGCCCTGGCCGCTGCCGCCGCAGCTGACGGAGCTGCGCCTGCGCCCGGCGCTGCTGCGCCTAGCGGAGGCGGCCATGAACGCGCTGGCGGCGGTGTGGAGTAAGGACGTGGAGTGCAAACGCCTGGCGCAACAGGTGGGGGGGTTTGGAGGCGGCGAACTATGGAAACATGTGGAATTTTGATGAATTTTTGGGGATTGATGGGGATTGAGCAGAACGGGGGATTGAATGGCGAATTGGGATTTCATTGGCTAGAAACTGGGAGTTGTACATAGTTGTACTAACAAACATCTAGATCTTACTTTTCAACAATAAAAAGGTGAACAAATAACAATAGTGATTTAATCAACGAAAATGCTGATTGGGGTTTATAAAGTAACTTATACCTGGGGGGGGCCCACAAGTGGAGGATCACCTTACTGAGTTTTTGTGGTGGATCCCATAACTCGTTTCAGCCTGACATCAAATTCAATACTGTACCTTTCCAGATATGGGCCTCCAAAATTACTAAGGCCACTATTCAACGAGGCTTTGTGAGGGATTATTTGATAAGGGGAAAGGATTGGTAAATGGCTAGTAACTCTGATTATAATTTGTCTATAAAATGCAGTTCGGAACTTGTCAACCAGGGGATTGTGAGTGGGATGATCCTAGAAGTAGGTGGATTATGAGTGGAATCAGTGGGATCCGTTTTGCATTTTGTTTCGATCCTCCTATGGTGTACCCCAAGAGAATGAGGGGGCTGGGCCCCTTTTAAAAAAATATCGAGCAAATCTGAAATAAAATGGGGTCAGATGCTAGCATTTTATAGGAGGTGCATTTTATTTTTTGAGGGGCCCAACCCATCAACTTAACTGACAGAGATAGCATGATAGCAAAGATGCACAGCTGTGAACGGCCTGATCATTCTGCGAAAACTTTCAGAGATTTGGAATCACTTGGACATCATGGAGCATATGATTTCATTTAGATATAAATAATATATGATATTGTAATCTATCTCATCAACAACTCATAAAAATCACAAGACTAAAAGACATAAATTTTACAATACTAAAAGTGTTTTAAGATGCTATATAACAAAAAGGAAACTAACTTTCGAAAAAATAAATATGACACACAATGACAAATAAAGATGAAATGATCGTGAGTAAGAACGATAATCCTAATGTATAACTTATAACAAAAATGCTAGAGATGAATTAAGTTATGAAACTGCAATGATTACACATATCATACTGTACAAATGTGTGTCAACGATCTAAGGAAATACAACAATCAATATTATTACGAAACAGTTGCCAGCGGGGGGCCCGGCGCCATATTCTCTTTGTGTTTGTCCAGTGTGTTTTGCTTGGATTATCCTATCTTACCTTATGCCCTATCATTTTATTGACATTTTGTTCTTAGGCCCCTTCATTTTATTATATTTTTTTAGGGGTTCCACGCCACCCCCCTGGCACCACACGGAGATCATATTGGGGATGATCCATTGTACTTGTACTGGCTGGGTAGTGCCTTTTCCATCCTTTTCCTAGATTTGTTGATTGATTATTTTACCATGTGCATATCCACCATTTGAATTCTTAGGAATCTATATAAGAATAGTTTTTCTTTTAGCAACACCTTTTTGACTTGTTATCATTTTGAATTATCAAATAATTGGGTGGTTTTGTAGGGTTCCCAGTTCATGGTAAGAACGCTCTTTACATATCCTACATATCCATGTAGTACAACACCTTAATACTGATCTAGCAACTGGTAGTTTGGGCATTGCATGGCGTTGCCCATTTGCATGGGAGGATCATTTTTTTTAAATGTATATATATATAATATATATATATTGGTGTTTGTTTCACAAACGCAGTTGAGAGGATGATGTTTGGGTATGGGGCAGTAATATGAAAGGGAGCCGGTATGGGTCAGCACCACATGGTTCCAGGTGGATGAGCTTCAGCGGATGAAAGGCCGGCTGGACGGCGAAAAAATACTGGTAGCTCAGCTCATACCCTCTGGTAAACTAACATAGCTATGGAAAATCACCATTTTAATGGGTAAATCCACTATAAATGGCAATTTTCAATAGCTATGTTAGTTTACCGGAGGGTATCGTTTGAAATCAAGACAGAGTTCTGAAAGAAGCAATTTCGGCTAACTAAGACGAGGTTCCCAGAGATGATTTTCTGACATTCTTTCTCGGTTCTCAGGGTTTTCTTTGGGATCTTCAGAACCAAATTGATGAGTTTTCCCCAATGAGAAGGCTTGAATTGTAAAATCCCGGCAGTTTCCTCCAATCAAATATTTTCTATTCTATAGTTAGGTACAGTACTATATAGATGTATGCACGCTTGCCGCAGGGCAGCCAGTGGCAAGTGGGCCCTTGGCAGTTCATGAGCAACAAGAGTTGGCCAAGGCCTTGCTAAACGAAGAGCAGGAGAAATTCCAGCAGCAACCCCCAAAAAGATGCAGAAGAGGCTAAGTTGGTACCCTTCATTAAAGTGGTGTAGTAACACCCAACAAGATTGATGTTTGAAAAACCTACCAGAACATGTTCGTGAAATCCTGCCCCAACGGATTTGAAAACGACCTTTGAATACATTTGAGGATTTGACTTTACTTAAACCTATGTTTTTTCTACAAGGAAAAGAGAAGGTGATGATGAAGATGAAGTTGAATATTTCAAATCATACATGTTTCCAGGATCATCTCATATCATTACGACGGCCTTCGCTTTTTGAATGCATCTTTGATGAAATTAAAAAGATATGAACTTTGTATACATCTACGCGATTAGCCCCTGTAGGTATAGGTTGCCATATAAACGCACCTTACCAAGTATATATATATACCACATATGTTCTCCAATACCAGATATCTATCCCTAATATCTAAACGCACCTCTATCTTTCACCATATGCGCATCATATACATACATATAGATAGATAGATAGATAGAAAGATAGATAAATAGATAGATAGACAGACAGACAGACCATGATACACCATGATACACCATGATACATCATGATACATTATGATACATCATGATACATCATGATACATCATGATACATCATGATACATACACTTTACACGCATACATACATACATACATACATACATCCATCAATCCATCCGTCCGTCCGTACGTACGTACGTACATACCTACCTATATACCTACATACCTACATACCTACATACCTACATACCTACGTACCTACACCTACCTACATACCTACATACCTACATACCTACATACCTACGTCCGTCCGTCCGTCCGTACATACATACAGACAGACACACACGCACATACACACACACACATACATACATACATGCATGCATGCATGCGTGCATGCATGCATAAATACATACATACATAAATACATACATACATAGATAGATACATAGATACATAGATACATAGATACATACATAGATAGACATACATACATACATAGATAGAGACAGACAGCGACAGACAGAGACAGACAGAGACACAGACAGAGACAGAGACAGAGACAGAGACACAGATAGAGACAGAGACACAGACCAGAGACAGAGACACAGACACAGACAGACAGAGACAGACAGAGACAGACAGAGACAGACAGAGACAGACAGAGACAGACAGAGACAGACAGAGACAGACAGAGACAGACAGAGACAGACAGAGACAGACAGAGACAGGCAGAGACAGACAGGGACAGACAGAGACAGACAGAGACAGACAGAGTCAGACAGAGACAGACAGAGACAGACAGAGACAGACAGAGACAGACAGTGACAGACAGAGACAGACAGAGACAGACGGACATACATACACCGTTAAAAACAAAGTTAGAATGCGGCTTTGGCTTCGCATGATGGTGGCCCGTTTGGCCCCGCCCCCCAACGGCAGTCGCATTCTAGCTGAAGGATCGCCTGTAAATATGCAGCCACACAGTTTGAATGCGGCACAAAAATCGTTGAGAAAATGCAGGTTTTGACTGGTATTTTACAGGGGAAATGGAGTTAGAATGCGGTGGTTGAAAAACACACCAATAGCCCATGTCGCACAGTTTTTGCTGGCATATGCGCGGAAAGCCTCAGTTAGAATGCCTGCCGTTCATGGTTTGTACTCTATTGACAAGTGGGAACACGAGTTTTATACACAAGTACTAATAGTATTAACATTAATTCTCAGTCGAACCTTCAGACAGCCTGCCAATGCCATTGGGGGAGGCTGTTTATTCATTCTGCACTCCACAAGTTTTGTTCGTTTCCTTTTCTTTTTTTCCCATTGATCTCTATCTGCTGTAGTTTCCGTAGGCATTCTCACCGTTGTTTTCCCCGCTAGGTGCTTGTGACCTGCAGGGAACATGGACACCCTTTCCTCTTATCCGATCTTATCCGCTTCCCTTTCCTTGTCCTTTTTCCAAAAAAAGTCCGATAATCATATAACTGATAATATTTATAGTTTGGAGGATTCTAAGTGAGGGATTTGTGCAAAGGATCCTCCGAAAACAAAAAAACTTAAAAAACGGGCGGTGAGGCATTCAGTTAAATGGATTTTTGCCGTGCACGTGCCGCATTCAAACTGAGGGGGAGAAATGTTTGGAATTCGCGGTGGCATTCTAACTTTCACTTTCGGCAAATACATACATACATGCCTACATGCCTACCTACCTACCTACATACCTACCTACCTACCTACATACCTACATACCTACATACCTACATACCTACATACATACATACCTACATTACATACCTACATACCTACATACCTACATACATACATACCTACATATCTACATACCTTCATACCTACGTACCTACATACCTACGTACCTACATACATACCTACATACCTACATACCTACATACATACCTACATACATACCTACGTACCTACATACCTAGATACATACATACATACATACCTACATACATACATACATACACATACATACACATACATACACATACATACACATACATACACATACATACACATACATACACATACATACACATACATACACATACATACACATACATACACATACATACACATACATACACATACATACACCTACATACACATACATACACATACATACACATACATACACATACATACACATACATACACATACATACACATACATACACATACATACACATACATACACATACATACACATACATACACATACATACACATACATACAAACATACAAACATACAAACATACACACATACACACATACACACATACACACATACACACAAACACACATACACACACACATACAAACATACAAACATACAAACATACATGGACATAGACATAAATGTATATATATATATACATACATAGACTATATATATATATATACGTGCATACATAGACACACGTATATATATATATATATGCACACATACGTGTATACATAGGCTTGTCCAGGCTTCTGGAACTGCGTAAACCTGAATACGATTGGGGGGTGGGGTGGGGTGGGATGTCAACGTTCATGTGAACTTGCGGCAGCAGTTGATGCTACGCACACGCGGGGTGGGGTGGGGGGGTGGGGTGGGGTGGGATGTTAACGTTCATGTGAACTTGCGGCAGCAGTTGATGCTACGCACACCAGGGCCTGGACAATATATATATATACATATATGTATATACTGAATATATTTACCGACATTTTTGGTATATTTATACGTATCCAACAGTTTTTCAATTGTTGTATATACATATATAATTAATATTTTGCTTGATTGGCAACAAGGACCCCTGGAAGACACAGGGAGAGGTCCTCAAAGCTGTGCGAGACTTGCAGCTGCTGTGAAGAAACAGAAAAAAACTGGTCTCACATGTTTCTGGTGATGATGATACTGATGATGATGATGATGATGCTGATGATGATGATGCTGATGATGATGATGAGGATGATGATGATGAACATGACCCAAATGAAACTTGTTAATTCCGCGACGAAATTTCGTCACGGAATGGACAAGTTTTACCAACCTAATTCAGGTTTACGCAGTTCCAGAAGCCTGGACGAGGCTATACATACATACGTACATACATACATACATACGTGACTGCATGCATACATACATACATAGACATACATATATATATATACATACATACATGCATGCATGCATACAGAGACATATAATTTTAACAAATACATACATTCATACATAGACATACATGTATATACATACATACATACATGCATGCATGCATGCATGCATACATACATACAGACACACACACACATACATGCATGCATGCATACATACATATACATACAAAGACTTATAAATACATACAAATACATACAAATACATACATACATACATACATACATACAAACATAGACATTGAAATACACATACATCGACTTTTTTTTAATATACATACACATACATAGACATACATAGACATACATAGACATACATAGACATACATAGGCATACATAGACATACATAGACATACATAGGCATACATAGACATACATAAGACATACATAGACATACATAGACATACATAAGCATACATAGGCATACATAGATACATACATAGACATACATAGATACATACATAGACATACAGAGACATACATAGATACATACATAGATACATACATAGATACATACATAGATACATACATACATACATACCTACCTACCTACCTACATACATACATACATACATACATAGACACACACACACGTATATATATACATACAGGGATATTGACATCCGTATCTATGACATCAATCTGGCCGTGGCGTTTTGGTGCCAGGAGGTGCGTCGCCTCCGCGAGCGCGAGCACGCCTTGAGCGAGCAACTGGCGGCGGCGCGCGCCAGCTGTCGGAAGCTGAAGGATAGGGTTCCTTGGTGACGCCCGGAGGATGGGGATGATGAGTTTGATGGTGTTGTTGTTTTTTGGGATGTTTTGGGGACGACAAATTTGTTGACACTCAAGAACTGATCGAAATGGAGGTTTTGGAGAACGAACGTGTTCAATTCGTGCGGCTGCATTGGTGGAAGTTAGTGCAAAAGATAAAACATATGATATAGTAATAGTCCATGTGTTGATCGATGTTCACGAAAATCGAGAAAGTATGGAATATATACAGTAGACGGGAATTATATAGGTGAACAAATCTGGGTTGCAGGTTTCTGTACGCAGAATTCTGTGGTTTCTGGGGGTCCAATTGGGCCTGGCAAAAATGGCCAATTTAGCTGGGTGAAATCAAGGGATGCATCAGAAAAACTTGATGTGGGATGATATTGTTACTGTTGTTCCTTTTGCACCTTCAAACTTTGAGACACCAGCATCATAGATTAGATCACTCAGCACAGTGGTTCTTTGTTCTCAAGATTGGCTGCGAACCTGTGGGACGTATTTCGTTCTGAAAGTAGACAAATTCAATTCATCATGGTGACAATCATGGTAACTAGCTTGCGTAATCCCTCATCCACCTGACCCATTTGCCGTCAAAGCAAGGAATCCAACGTGGTGCAGAGCCTCGGTAGCAAGTCAAGGGTGGCCTGTCTGTCAGCCTGACGGCCCCTGATGCCAAAATGCAGCTACTTTCAGGGTCCTGAAGTTGCGGTGTCGCATCCAAGGCTTGAAGTGGAGCAAAAGGCCCAGTTAGCCGCAGCTAAGAGAGCCTGGGCTATTCCTGGGCCTCTATCTGACTCTATCTTCAGTTGGAGCTGAGCAAACCAATATGGGGTAAAACCATGTAAAGCCACGAGCCTTTAGCATGTCAATGGCAAAAGTCCTTGGTGACTGAGTTGCCAGCAGTATGGAGCCCCTAGAGGCCCTATAGAGTTCCCAGGAAAAAAACATGTCCACATGCCGTTCCAGTGAGCATTTGAACATTCCCAGCTTTATTCGTTAAGTGTCCCTGTTTGTTCAACCTGTCGGTGGTTCGTAATTCGACTTGAACTGTGCATTGGCTTTATGGGGCATTGATCATTCCCAAAAAACATCTCGCTTGCAAGGACTTGAAGCCGATGCCAAGCAGCAATTTCAGGACTGCTACCGACATGACGCTACTGACCATTGCACCCTTCACAGGATCCACAGCCTACGATGGCGCCCAGATCGTAGAGCTGGTATGGGTAGCGTTGGCACTTGCTAGTGTAGCCGTAGCGGTATGGTTTGCATACTGATCAGGAAGTTCCCAACTGGCCACCCAACAGCTCTCCAGGGGGCGCAAAATCGACAGTCCAACAATTGGTTGAAGGGACAATTGATCAGGACAACCCCCGAAGACTTCACAACAAGACCTATGGTATCGTTAAACATAACAAGCTGGAAAATCCCGAACCAAATGGACGGTTGAAAAAAAGTGGGAAAATCATCTAGCTCAACGGGGGATTTTCCAGCTAGCCATCAAACATAGCCAGCTATGTAATAGGTAATTCATCCATAAATCGTCCATTTTCCACAGCTATGTTAGTTTACCCGAGTATCCCCCAAAGAATCTCCAGGACCGCGAAGCGGAACTCCAGACGCTGCGGCTCCAAAAAGAGGAAGTGCTGGCGCAAGTGGCCAAGAAAGATGCCGTGCAGGCGTCGGGGCCAGCTGATGGATGCTGGGATGTAACCACCATTCAGGTTGGAGAATCAAAATTCAGCCGGATTTGGGATCATTAGCAATTGGATGGTTTAGCGATGTTTAGTGGTTTGTCCTCCCACCGGCAAAATGCAGGTTTAAACTAGCGCAACTGGCTAGTCAATCACCGTGACATGGGGTTAATGACCTGGAAACGAAAGCACCAACGAAATGACCTGCTGGGCTGTAGCTGGTTGGTACTCTGGGGATGGATGGGCAGATCTTGTCTTGACAGTCATGCGTCATGATGGGTCCAAGACTCCAAGATTGCATCAGCAGCAATGACCGAAGCTTCAATGCCAATTGAAAGCTCATGCCACGAGATGCTGGCTCAACATGATGGAACATCTTACATCATCTTACATCTATGCAGCATGGTGGGAGTTTTCGGCAAGATAAATCGACCTGCTTGATCCTATCGGGCCTATCGACTTCTTGACATGAAGTTGTGGTTGAGACCAACATTGAGCAGAAATTGCGGGCCATATTTTTGTTGGTGTATTATATATAATAGTATATATTTATATATATACGCATATATATAATATATTTCCGCATGCGCATATAGGCATAGACATGCATAGACAGATAAAGAAGTGAAATTCCCTTTGCCACTGGTTTCACCAATGATCCATAATGAGCACGAGGTGTTCACAAGTTGCCAGGCGTCTCTGAGCCAAGAGCTGCGCAAGACCAAGCAGCAGCTGCAGCTATCGGATATTCAGAAGCAGAAATTGCTCACGTCCTTGCAGGATGGGCACCCAGGGCATCTGGGGCAGCTGGTGAGTGATTTGAAAGTGCTATGACTATGACTCATAGATAGTCATAGTGGGGGTTTCCATTAAATGCAGGTACCCCCAATGTCATCAATATCCCCCAAATGGATGGTTTAATGGACAATCCTATTAAAACTGGATGATTTTGGGGGTATTCCCATTTTGGGAAACCTCCATACCTATGCCTTCCTGGTGCTCCTTTTATTGGTTTTTGCCTGGAAAAAAAAACACACATTTTTTGGTCGCTGTGGAAAGAAAAACTCCGCTGCCTTCAAAAAACGTTCTAGCTCCAAATGATCAAGAATAGCCAGGTTGAAAGGACAGCAACAAACCTGTTGCAAGTGACAGTGGTGCCACACCTAATCAATTGGAAGTAAACTGGATCGACATGGTCTGTGGGTTTTGAGCCCTCAAATTGCAACCTTTCGTACCATTTGACTGTGATGCGGACATCAACATAAACCATGCAAAACTATCCAAAACTGGGGTACGGGTAAAATTGCTTTTGTATTGCTTGAAAGCGCCGCCAAAATTGCTATGCGAGTTTCAGGCCCATCAACAAGCGGTTCAGCACAGAGCTGCTGCAGAAAAGCAGTTCTGACAGGAAAAGCAGAACTTAGTAATACATTAGTAACATGCGAGAAGCCCTAGGTATGACCACTCAATACCTATGATATTCTATGATATTCTATAATTTTCTATAAGATCTAAATTGGTCGATTTGTGACTTCGCAGCACGGCGTTTGATACCAGGGTGGTGAAAGTGTGTGAAGAAGAACCTCAGAGAAAAACGCATACCACTCACATATGGTATCCTGGTATCCCATTTGCTTTATCAATGCCAGAAACTGGTCACAGATGAAAGTGTGTGAAGCATTCCCATGGGAAGGTTCAACATTTGCATAGTTTCCCACGTGGGACTGTCGTCCCAAAAATTGTCAAGATGCTTTGGACCTGGCATCTCTCCCAACTCCACGGCAAATATCTAGGCATAGATGCAACATGATACAACCCCATCCATACTCAAAAAAACACTTAAAACCCGCCTATATTTTGTGGGTCCTTTGGTTTTGGTGCCCTCCTTTTGGGTCATCAAATGTTCCTGTCTGAACATTCTGAACATGGAAATAGGCTATCGATTTGTCGATCATCATGTCCTGGAAAAAGACGGGTACAGCGCCCCCGAGTTTTGACAAATCCCACACAGTGCTGTTGATTACACCATTTTATCCTGGCCATATACAAGCAAAAAATCAACGGTTGTTGGTGTTATATCCCCATACAATGGATATGGAAGAAATCCTGCACCAGTTGAAAACGATGTTTTGTCCCACTAGAATCCACTATATATAGGGTTTCAAGCATCCTTTTGCAGGATTTTGAAACCTATCCATAAAAATATAATATAATATATATATATGTATAATTATACATATATATATTATATAATTATATATATTATATTATTTATATAATATATATAATATATATTATATATATATATATTATATTATATATATTATATATATTATATATATTATATATATTATATTATATTATATTATATATATATTATATATTATTTATATATATATTATATTATATATATTATATATATTATATATATTATATATATATTATATATATATTATATATATTATATTTATATTATATTTATATTATATATATTTTAAATATACATATATATACTGTATATAATATATATAATATAAGATATTATATATATATATATGTTATATAATATATTATATATATAATTTATATATAATATATAATATATATATAATATATATATACCCTAGGGATCCACGACCTTTAAAACAAAGGTGGTTAGAATATCTCCTTTGTTTGCTGTGAACAACCTTTCTTTGCACCTGCAGGGTAAGTATGACCTGCATGGATATGAATCAGTGATGGTGGAAGCCATTTTGGCTTAGGTTGGTTGCAATGGGGTGCAACCAACCAATAACTAAGAATGAATCACTGCCAACATGGCGCATAGTGTGTATCGAATATATATCATACTGATTGTGGTGGAGGTAAGCCACCTGATAGATGGAAACCTGAATAGATTCCTCGGGTCATCAACCCAAAAGATGTTCTAGACTTCCCAACTACCTGTGGTGACAAAAGCAATGATGACTCTTTTGATCTGGGAATGATGCCATGGCACTATGAAGCGAGCACTAGCTCTCGGTCTGGTCCTCAACTACTTGAATTCAACCTCAATGTGTGAAATGTACTTTGACTGTACCTGTATGGGTTGAATTCAAGTAGTTGGGCCTTTCCTCCCAGGTTGTATGGAGCGTCTTTCTGGAGAAGATATCATCCACCTCGATGAGTTTTTGGGTGCCTCCCATCCCTGCCTACACACCCACCTACTTGCTGGCTGTTGTTTTGCCAAAGCTTGCATGGGTCACCATCATTCATGATTCATCCCATCAATTTGGCTTAAGGGGGATGTACGCCAACGGCCTGACATGAAAGCAAATAAAGGACACAATACATGCATGTATTGCATTATTTGTATGTGGATGGGGGGTGTGCCGATCATGACTGATGTGGAGCCATGGATGTTCACACCTAAGCGGCTGAATGCCAAAACTGTGGCATTGCTCAAGGAGAAAAAAAAACATGTCCATATCATTTTGTTGAGGTCGTGGATCCCCAGGGTTTTCAGATCGATATATACAGCATGCATGCAACGTATGTGAACGGATGAGAAGTACTACAACGATATAATCCTCATTGGTGAGAGTGTTTTTTTAATCACATGCAGATGATAAGTTTAATACCATAATTGAATTAATGCGCTGTTTCCAAATCAATTCCCTTACATGGGGCTGGTTCGAGTTTCCATGATTCTGCTGTCAGGAGTGGCTGAAGAGTATGTGTGAGGATGATGGCTTCATTGCCGCAAGGCGCAAGGTTCTACGTCTGCGTGCTGGGTTGAGTGACAAAGACTACAAGGTAGTCCTTGGCCTAGTTACCTAGAAGATCAAACACATTTCCTAATGGTGAAATATGTGCTATTTTCTGGAACTTAGCATTTTTCCATTTTTGATCAACATCATGAGGTGCCCAAGTTCCGGTTCATCATTTTGGAGGGGCAGCGCGCTGTCATCTCAGAGCGTGAGGCCATATCAAAGATCAATCCATTTGTGTGCCTTTCTGATCATTGAAATCACTTCAAGATTAGAAATCAAACAGAGTTGGTGTGAACTGCTGTTGGTAGATCACGCATGTGATGTCTGGTTTGGGGGTTCATTTTGGAGGTTGTGAGCGACCACAACTACGAACTCAACCTGTCGTATCTTGCTAGCTTTGCAAACAACCTTCCCCGTCGGAAGGAACTTGAGGTGGGGTCTCTAGATTTCGTTCCCAATCTTCCAAGGGATTTTTCTTTTCTTTCTTTCTTTTCCGAACATTTCTTTGTGGACTGCAACTGCCAGGTCAGCTTGGCTTGGGCATCAAGCCATTATAAGCTTAACCCATGGCGACGTTATGAGCAGCACCAGGCAGGATACTGGCCAACCCGTGGGTGCCAACAGGATTGTAAGATCTATCAAATGATGTTTTTTTTCCAGTTTAGGTGTGCATACCACGTATACTAAAGTGATAGCCACACATGTTGATTATATGTTGCTGATATCTGATTCAATCATTATTATTCATTTGCATATGTAATTTAAAATATATCAAATCCAAGCAGGTATTGTGTTGGTTCCCCTAAGTTAGAAATTGCTGGACACATCAGTTGCCCAGGCATGGGCAATTGTTGAAGCCGGAACCATCATGGGTTCGGCATCATGGTCGATGGAAAGATTTCAACGCAACAAATCTGCCAGGCCAGGTTCCCACATTTTCGCACATCTGCCAGTCAGAATCTGCGAAAATGGCATAGAGTCACTAGTATGTCCATGGCCTTGAAATCTGAACTGCACTTGTTAGTCAACCAACGTTTGTAATTGAGATATTATCCATTCACAAATTCCATTAGTGTCCAACTTTGATATCAGGCCTGGACATGAGCGAACTGAGACGTTGAAGGCTGTGATACGGCAGAAGTTGGAGGACTGGTTCTAAGTCTTCACTTGCATGTTCTTTGGGATTTGGTTCATAAATCAATGTTATATCAGTGGTATAATCATAGTCGTGGGTGCTTGTCTTCCTCTCATGAATCCATTAGATCGATGTACAACCACATTTCACACATTTTTTAATTTATATATGGACCGATCGATCAATCAATTAAGATAGTGAACAACTTTGAGATTTGTGTTATGAGTAATGTTTGCATGCATGGCCCAGGAACACGATATGCTCACGCCAGAAGGCAAAAAAAAGCCGCAGCGAGGTCGAGGCATGAGCAAGAAGCCAGAGCAGAAGGAGAAGGTGGGCTTGGGTAGGTAATCATATCAAGATATGACTGGGGTTTGGGGAATTGCCAATTGAAAAAAAATATGATATATATATTATATATATTATAAGTGTGGCAGGGTTTTCTGAAATGCTTGAGGGTGTTTTTGGACTGTATTTTATGCCTGAGCGTGTGAAGAAGTGATTCTGTTCCACAATTTTTGGACCTGCTTCATTCACCCATTAGGCCCACTTTGATAGGATGCAGGTCAAACAGAATTATCAAAAAATCGCTGTGGGCAGGAGAAGATGCCAGGAGAGAACCCAGATGAAGCAGAAACACTGCCAATGCCAGACACAGTTTCTCCCCCGTCAGCTTCCCCGCAGCAAGTATCACCTTTCATCGAATCCCAGTGGAGGTTGGAAAGGGGAAATTCGACATCCAATTTGGGTGACTGGGACTGGCTGGAAACTGCCGAAGCCAACACTGCTCCCGAGACTGACATGACTGATGAAGATGAGCATGATGAAACCCCAGAAGAAGAGTGTCTGACAGAAGATGACATGGTTGAACCCTTGGAGCTGGAAACCTTATACCAAGACAATGAGACCTTGCAGATCCTGTCAGATGATGAATGTGTGATGAGCCC